TTATTGAGTAGTTGTTTGAAATAATGAGCTAGCCTAAAAAATAAGACAAACAGCGGTGATGAACATTGTATTCCAATGCATTTTATACAGAACTTGACGTTTCGTATGCTAGTCAACATACATTTTCAAAAGTGAACCGTTACAATTGTTGAAAACTATATGTAGTGAATGTAAGAGTTCTGGAACCTAGACTGAAGACCACTGGTCACAACATTAAATGGGATCATTTTGACATTTTAGCGTCGGGAAAAACTGACTTCCATTGTAAAATTAAAGAGACTTTGTTCATTCAAGAGCTAAAGCCTTCTCTTAATGTCAATGTTAGTAGTGAGAAGTTGTTGTTATTTTAGCCAGTACTTCTCATTAGTCTAGACATATAGACCACTTTCATAAATGGCTGCCGGATTAACATTCTTTTGTTTAAATTTAAATTAGCCCTTCTGGCCTCGCTTGAGATGATGTATTCTTTTGAATTTTGTCTAGAGAACGAGGCCAGAAGGGCTAATTTAAATTTAAACAAAAGAATGTTAATCCGGCAGCCATTTATGAAAGTGGTCTATATGTCTAGACTAATGAGAAGTACTGGCTAAAATAACAACAACTTCTCACTACTAACATTGACATTAAGAGAAGGCTTTAGCTCTTGAATGAACAAAGTCTCTTTAATTTTACAATGGAAGTCAGTTTTTCCCGACGCTAAAATGTCAAAATGATCCCATTTAATGTTGTGACCAGTGGTCTTCAGTCTAGGTTCCAGAACTCTTACATTCACTACATATAGTTTTCAACAATTGTAACGGTTCACTTTTGAAAATGTATGTTGACTAGCATACGAAACGTCAAGTTCTGTATAAAATGCATTGGAATACAATGTTCATCACCGCTGTTTGTCTTATTTTTTAGGCTAGCTCATTATTTCAAACAACTACTCAATAATAGAAACTATCGTAGCTTAAAAGATACCTTTTTGACAATTTGTACAAACTTTTTACAAATTTTGAAAATTTGTAATGAAGAAGAAAAGGTTTGAGTGCAATGCGTCGCATAATGAAAAAGCCGTAAACTACGCCGTTAGGGACCTCTTTCTCTCGTCCCCTCTTCCTTCGTTCCTTCCGTTCCTTCGTTCTTTCGTTCCTTCGTTCCCTCATTCCTTCATTCCTTAGTTCCCTCGTCCCCTCTTCCTTCGTTCATTCCTTCCCTCGTTCCGTCGTTCCGTCGTTCCGTCGTTCCGTCGTTCCATCGTTCCGTCGTTCCGTCGTTCCCTCGTTCCCTCGTTCCCTCGTTCCCTCGTTCCCTCGTTCCCTCGTTCTCTCGTCCCTCGTTCCCTCGTTCCGTCGTTCTCTCGTTCCGTCGTTCCCTCGTCCCCTCTTCCTTCGCTTATTCGCTCCTTCGTTCCTTCGTTCATTCCTTCCCTCGTTCCGTCGTTCCTTCGTTCCGTCGTTCCGTCGTTCTCTCGTTCTCTCGTCCCCTCGTTCCCTCGTTCTCTCGTTCCCTTGTTCCCTTGTTCCCTCGTTCCGTCGTCCCTCGCTCCCTCGTTCTCTCGTTGTCTCGTTGTCTCGTTCCCTCGCTACCTCGTTCCTTCGTTCCCTCGTTCCCTCGTTCCCTCGTTCCATCGTTCCCTCGTTCCCTCGTTCCGTTGTTCCCTCGTTCTCTCGTTCCCTCGCTCCCTCGCTCCCTCGTTCTCTCGTTCCCTCGCTCCCTCGCTCCCTCGTTCTCTCGTTCCCTCGCTCCCTCGCTCCCTCGCTCCCTCGCTCCCTCGTTCCCTCGTTCCCTCGTTCCGTCGTTCCCTCGCTCCCTCGTTCTCTCGTTCCCTCGTTCCTTCTCCTCCACTCTTCCCCTCCTTCATTACTGGTTCATTTGATCATTCATTAATTTATGTATTCATTCATGTATACTATTTGTTCAGTAATTCCTTAAATTCACGCATTTGCCTATTATCCGCTTGATTCTCGTGAAAGCCTCTTTTTCTGGAGAAACTAATCATTAATCAGGAGCATTGGGAAAATTTCTGGGAATATCAGAACTTTTCATAATTAAGGGAACAGAATTTTACCCTTACATGTATTTTAAACCAGAAGGCAGAAACTCGAAATCACTACAAAATTTTCGATGATGTAAACCAAAACAAGAAAAGAAAGGCTAACAGCAAAAATCTAAATTTTGTGATAAAAACATATGCAAATTTCACATCGAATGAAAACTTAGGTCTTAAAACTTACAAATCTTTTCAGGAATATTACGGTCATACATTTTCTTTATTCTTGTACCCAGAGCCGTTCGATGTGAGTGAGTCGCTCGTTTCTCCGACCACGTGACCAAAAGAAACAAGGGCTTTGGGGTATGAGACTGATTTTCATAAGTTTGCAATACATACTTATGGATCTCCGCATATTTAATTAATTTGGCTTGCATGGCAGCCATGTTGCATGGCAGCCATGTTGCATGCCAGCCATGTTGCATGCCAGCCATGTTGCATGCCAGCCATGTTGCATGGCAAGAACAATGAAAATATTTTGCATAAGAAAGAATTTTTTCCCATGGGAAAAATCATCTATAGTTCCTGCTGGCTGCTGTGCAAAACCTCTATTGTTTTAGAGGGAAAAAAGCAGAAAGTGTGACCAGTTTGAAGTGGTACATTATCGTTTCGACGTTTCCATTGTTATAGTGACACAATAAAATTTAGAGTTCGTGCAAGAACTCACGCATTTAAGTCAGGAATTATTTCCTGAAAAGGGTTGTACTTATTAATCGTTTTTTCACACGATTTAGTGACTTAAGATATGGATCGTGACGTATCGACTGCTCAGTTCCACTCTTCTATGGGCAATCAAGGTCGAATGGTCTCATGTTCGTGAGCTGGAAGTTGAAACATTTAGAAAACGTGGTTGGAAGGGGGGGGGGGTGGTGGAGTCTTAGAGCATCCTTAGTCTCCCGCCATCCCCACATTTGGTCCCCGTCTCCGCCTTTTGCTGCAAAACACCGAAGACATATGAACGGACTTTTGCATTCTTCCATTACTTTCTCTCTTCTTACCCTTAAAAGCCCCCGATCCCGTCATTTCATTTCCCGTGCCCCGTGCCCCCCTTCCACTATTTCTGCCCCCACCCCACCCTCCAACTCGCGCTTCTCAAACCAACAGATACGGGTGATTAGATATTATAATTATAACAACCATTCTAACATCGCAGTCTCTTAAGCGAAACAAGCAAACAACATGGCACAAAGAAGATTCCTTCTCTCTGTTTTGATTGTTTCTTATTTGATTTGTCGTAGTATCGCAAAATATTCTTGTGGCAAATCGAAGTGTCAGCTTTCAGTTAGGAGCGGTTCGTCGCCTGATTTCATATCGAAAGCTTCTGAAAAAGGTGTGAAACTTGTGTACTTAAAATTCAAGATCTTCAATGACAGTTACAAGCCACTCGTGACGAATAACAGAATTTTGCCGTACAGGTGGGTTTGGGCCCGAAGTGAAAGCGAATCGATGTTAGGTCTGTCCTACGACTATGACGTTTTGTCTTTGGGTCTATTGAAAAATCAAGCAAGGACGATGGTGTTGTCTTTAATGGAGACACATCATGGATGCGTCCTAGCCTTGAATTCTTCATGCCAGGCCATTGCCATCACAGAAGCGTTGACAAAACTTGATAGCGACTACAAATTCAACTGACGGGAAACTGATGAATGAGCTAAACTCTGGAGTCGTTTGTTTCCGAGTCTTGAAGGAATTCTCTTTCGGCCTTGGAAGTGGATTTAAGTACAAGTGCTGCGAGAGGGTTGAAGAAGATCAGAGGCACCAAGTTTACTGTGGCTTTGACGTGAAAGAGAGCATATGGCTCTCGGTTTTCAACTCTGTCTTGAACGTGGTTGTAACCATTGTTTTCTTTTATGGGCCTTACCTCTTCTGTGTGGTTCCAGATTTCTTCTCGGACGGACATCGCCAGGATCACGTAAAGAATCTTACTTCAAAACAAAGTAAAATTGAAAATGAAGAGGAGACATTTCTGGCAATATTAGATGAAATTCCAGTGGATGATTCAAGCCCGATAAGCTGTACAGAGATTGTGCAAAAATGCGTGAAGAATTTGCCAACTTTAAACTATGGATTCAACGTAAAATTAATCCTCCTTTGGTACTGTATAATTCCAACATTTTTCTTCTTTAAGCTCTTGTTATATTTTATTATCAAGGATAACTTCGACGAGGCTTCCAAGAAGCTTCTGTTTCAAGTGGCTGATGCTTATCTTTATATCTTTAGCATGGATAAACCTGCTGTTTATGTTTTGTTTATTGTACCGTTATTTGTAATACCTACCTTGGTAATTTCCTTTTGGAGATTTGAAGAGAGCCTGGATTTGTATTTAGGTGAATGTTTCATTTGCACGGACTCGGGCTCAGATTCTCAACTCAGTCTAAAAGAGCATTTTGTAAAGCGTTTAAAAACTATGCCAAATAGTGTAATCAAAATAATGGAAAGAGTTTTGGAAAAGCTCTTCCTTCAAAAGTTCGGGTCAAAGTTCCCGCCCTGCTCTGAATGCAACCATTTTCAACAGTCACTGTGTGGGCATGCAATTTGTGTCTTATCCACAGTCGCATTCATGATGATTTACGGTCCAATTGCCATCACAATCTCTCTTTTGATTTATTTAGCTGTTTTACTTGTGACAACTATAATATATTCGCCTCTCGTAACTGGATTAATTTACCTGACAAAATCCATGACCTCACAAATTGAATCCATTCACAAACACCGTAAAAAATGCAAGTGGCTATCGAATTTTCTAATCCTCATTATTTCAATTCCGTTTTTCGTAAGCGTATCAATCATTACAATCTTCTCTTGTCAATACATCGTTAGAACGTCTGGCCTCACTCTCATGGGGATTACCTTGAACGCGGAATCGGCTGTTCCTTATATCACATTCGCCTTCGTGGTCTGGCGAAACGTATACCTTTGTTTCAACAATTTACAAAATACGTACAAGGAAATCAAAATTATGATTTGGGAAGAATGGAAAGAGCAGAAAAAGCCTAAGAGAGAAGGCACAATTCCAAAAAAACTATTTTGGTCCATCTGCAAGGACTCGGTTGCAAATGAAATTTGCGCCATGTTGTGTAAAATGGTTGCGATACTCATATTTCTGTCAATTGCCTTAGCAGCAATCTTTCTGTTCAAAGTCGAGTATAATTCGTCGACTATAGTCTCTAGTATAGCTGTGTTTGTGAGCGGAAAGATATCAGAAGTGTTTTTTAGTAGAGTTACAACGGGCAACAATATAACTGGCTGGGAGAGAGTTCTGGAAAAACAAAAGATTCGCGACGCTGTGCGAGAATTCACACCTGACATGTTCGACGGTGAACGCGACGTTCGTATGGAGAGGGATTTTTCTATGGTTTCACCCCACGAGTCTGCAGTCTGATTAGAAAATGCAATAGTTTTTCTTATACTTAGCTGAAATTTTATTCTTAGTTTTCGCTTAGCATAAAAATGACTTCTTCTTAAGGCCCACTGAACTTTTCGGCCAGCTCATCTTTTCGAACAGTTACTCAATGGCGCCAAACCACTTAGCTTAACGTGCGCCTTTTAATGATTTTGTGTCCATATAGTTAACTTAACAGCAGTTTCCTTTCCATACTGAGTGAATTTGAAAACAAAAACTTCATTCTAACGATTACGAAGACCGGTCCATCGAAAAAACATTTTTCGAAAACGCTTTTGAAACCAACTTAGACGTTCGTTGTTGTTGTTGTTGTTTTTGAGTGATTCTGGGAGTCTTGCTATGCATTTGATTCGTTTCTGAGAGAACAGAACGTATTTTTTTTGTTGAGGATGACGAGTGAAATTGCCATTTTCCTGGTTCTCTTGCGTCTGGTGTAATCGGGGCCAATGAGTGTCTAATTTGCCTTGCTATCTGTTTGAAGAGCAACTTTTGTTACTTTTTACAGTAGTTCATAACCTTTGACAGGCGGCAACTAAAATACTGCACGAAGCTATTTGGAATAAATGTCATATCATCAGTCCCTATATTCTATGATTGTTATTAATTACGTCTTTACTCTTGAGGAAATGTCGTTATCATCGGTCTGAGTAACATACCAAACGAGTCTAACAATTTCATTGTCAACTATGCAGGAGCCCGTTATCCAGAGCTTCCATCTTCCATACTGACCCTCTGAGTCGATCCTGTCCCGTATCTTTCTATTTTTAGAAGCACCTCGCACGGCGGTTTTTAAGGGTGTTTTTATAATAGCCAATCATAAGAGAGCTGTCGTCTCTATTGTGTTACGTCTCTATTGTGTCACTTACAGGCCGCACGAAATTATTTCAATAATGGTGGAAAGCGCGGAAAGATTAAAGAACCCCCCGCAAATATCTCAGTTCAAAAATTAAAAAGATACGGGACAGGGTTGACTCAAGGGTACAACTGAGATGGAAGCTCCGGATAAAAGGCTCCTGACTATGTCATAACTAATTATTCAGTTTTTAATAAAGAAGAGGTATTAAAGAAATGTGTCGAATACTGGAAAAGCTACAAACCAAAGCACTCAATGTGCATGCATGCGCAGTTCTGGCGTATCCTTTAGATTCTCTTGCAGAAGTTCGTTTAAAGTCGTCAAAATATATCACAGACGCCGCCACTTCGAATTTTGCCTAGCAACCTGGCCGAATACCCCTGCTACAACAAAATCTCACTTCTCCATTTTTTTTCCGTCTGAGAAATCTGCTGGAACAATAAGGGGGGCCTCCCATTGGCATTCTTGGCTAAGACAATGATCGTTTTTTTGCAATAGCCAACGCAGTAGGTTACTTTAAGGCATGCAGTAGGAGCTATTGCACCTATTTTGTACGCACCGCGTTTATTGACTGAGAACCTAGGGCGAGAGCGCGCGCAAATCTTTGCGAACACTTCTCAATAGCCGTTCTGATGGAATTCTTTCAATTCTCAGTGACAGGAACGATCATTAACATTTTATGTGCATGCTAATTAACCTTCTTAGCCTCTCTTTCTATCGTTCTATCGTTTGTAAGAATGCCGTCGAGGCTAGAAAGGTTAATTCAAATACTGTTTGGCTCGCCCCCATTTCAAACTCTCGCAAGAAAAACGTTACAACGTCGGCCTCATCGTCGGGGTGTTATTTACTTTAGACGGTGGGGGATGTGTATCCAGTGGACAAGAACAAAGCTACAACCCCGGACAAAACTGTTGAGACATTTCAATGCAATTTTTAATTTCCCGCCATGCAACAATCGTTTCCAAAAGGAACAAACTTGGCCCCCTCCCCACCCCTGGTACAATGTTGTTGGGGCTTAACAGCTCAAGCATGCATTTCTTGTGTTACCGCAAACAACATTGCAATAGGGGAGGGGGGAAACAATCTTTGAATTTGCGACGGTAAGCATTTTTGTCAGGGTGAGTGCAAAAAATAGGTATTTTTGTAATGTGTCTCAACAGGTTTTGTCCGAGGTTGTAGCAGTTCTGTATCGTTTATGTGAATGTAACTAAGTACCAGTATTTTACAANAAATACATTACTTCTTTGTATCCATTATTTCTAGTCGCAATGAATGGCAACCGAGAACATTTGTTCTGCCGTGTCGTCGGGAAGCTTAAACAGACGAACATCGCGGACGGAACGACAAACGACAAATGGCTAGCCGAAGTTCAGCGTTCGCCGTTTTCGCGCTGCTTAATCTAAATAATGATTAGTGCTAGACCTCCGGCAAACCTCTCCTCTAGTCGTCTCAAATCTTCCCGTGTGTGCATGGAAAAAAGTACGTTCTGCATCGCTGATAATGAGAGTATTTTCAAAGGGTTCAATTTGCGAGAATTTTATCATAACTTTTCCTATGTTGAGCTCCGATCTTAGAACTTCTTTGGTTTTCTTATCAATGCTGTATGGCAGTTTAAAGACTGATCTTATTATTTCTAATTTTAAAATAAGAAGTCCGTGGCAGTCTTTTTCCGTTCCGCTAAGCTAAGCGGGAGAGACGTGAGCCAACCGGGTATCACGTGTTCCTCCCTTTCGCTCCCCGCTTCACGTAACTCACGCTTAGCCCACGCATCTACCATAAGTTCACGCTTCTCGCGCTTGCCTCACGCTCTTCCCGCCTGACCGAAAGGAAACCGAAAATTCTGCTAAGCAAGTAAAAAATATATTATCTCCTCAAATCTGTAAAATGTAACACGAATTATAGTTTACTTGGTCTATTACCATGATAATAAATCATACTTCGGTCACTTAAGGGTAAGGTTAAATTGCGCCCTCAAAAAAATATTATTTTGAGTTAAAAATTTTTTTTGATGATTCTAGACAGTGGAAAACCTAATTATAGAAAAGAAATTATGAACATTTTGCACAAAGTAAAAACACATTAAGAAACTTTCCCGATTGTCATGCGTACGTTCTTTCAGTTTTGTCTGAAACTGAAATCAAGACGAAAGAAATCAAATTCAGATTTTGTTTCTTGTGTCATATGAAATTAAAGTTTACCTCAGATCCTAAAAAGAAATCTGTTTACGTATACTGTATTTACTTTTACTCATGCGAAAGAGAAAAACATGAAACAAAAGTGAGTATGACATCGACATCTAAAATTGGAAAGAGTTACCAGTAATCGTTTTTAAATTCAGCCGACTTACACAACATTCCAGATCATATGACAATCAAATATTAAATAGAGTGCTTTGCCTCGCAGCAAACTGAGCAACATTGTATCTGCTGAGATACTCTGACTCAAGTCTTTGAGCCATTAAAATTAATTTTTACGAGAACTGAACTTTTCATTTATAAACAACAGAAATCCTTTCATTATCTTATGGTTTTCAACTAAAATAGGAAAACACTCCTTTCCCAGCGAGTCAAAGAATAGAGTGACACAATAGCAGCAGATTGTGCACTTACCGACCTTTCCACTCCACATTCATTTCAGTGTCTACCGGCCTTAGAGAAGAATAGATATATACTTCATGCCAGTTTAAACCATTCTGTATTTGAAAAATTTTCGTTTTTTCTATCGATTTACTGTTGTTAGTGGTTTCCTTAAAATAGCGCGTGTTTTGTTGTATCCCTGCATAAAACATTGGGGTAAAGAAAGGCCGGATTACTCTGTCTCGAACATGTTCTCTCTCTATGGCTACAGTCAAACTTAACCCTTCATTTGAAGTCGTTCGAATCTCCTTACCACAGATGCATTCGACAGCAAATTTCAATTTTGAGTACCTACGTGATTACGGTAATTTTCTTTTAACGTGTAGTGTAGTGTGTGTTTGGAAAGTTTCCACTGATATGTTTTATACGTCAATTTCTACATCATCGATATTTTAGCCGTAGAGAACTCTTTGGCGAGCTAATTGGCCGATGTCTGTTTTTATAGCATGACAATTTTCATCTTTTTTCCGAGAGCGTGTTTTTTTTTAGAATTGTTGACTAATCGAGTAACGGATCTACACGCGAAAAGGGCGAAACATTTCCTTGCTCAGTGATCAACCTTTAAATCATGTCTCCAACGAAGTGAAATCATGTCATTCTGTAATTGTTTAACTGAAGGAGACATGTCTCTTTAGTCTTTATATTTAGCAGACAATTTATCTTTAGTTGATATAAAGAAAGAGCTTTCACCGCAAACGTCTTCCGCTATTTTTCACCTCTGACATTTTTATTTCAGTTTCGTTGACGTTGAGCTGAAATATGAATACTAATGTTGATCAGACTGAGATTTCAAAGTAAAAGAGCTTTGTTTTCAGCAATATTTACCTTAAGAGATTCGCAGAGAAGATCAGATTTCGAAAGTAAAGGAGTAATTTTTGCCGAGCAGTGTCATCGTAGGGCAGTAGATGTTATGCTTGCAAATTTTTGTTTAATTCTTTTAAATTAATGTGGTACTGTTTACTGTTCTGTGCAAGGTGTTTTGGGGTCAGTGAGTGAAACATATCCACGAATTAGCAATGAAGAAGCAATTTTACAAAAAAACTGGTTTAACATTTCGCTATGCGCTAAAACAGTCTTGGGTTAGTTTTCTCTCAGGTCCCTCGCCGTTACTAGAGAAGATAGAATGCGACATATATGATTTCATTTCATTTTCCTTTCTGTTTAAAGTGGACTCCAAAAGGTGGCCGAGCAATCTTCTAGAGATAAAACACATTTCGGATTCTATGAAGAAAGGGGGTAGGTCTCGGAATAAACTTTTGTGCTGCGTCGGTGGAGGTATTACAAGATAATCTGGTTTTATCGACTGAGTTGTCAATGTAAACTGGCCAACATAAAGAGTATCTATAGCTGATGTTTCGAGCGTTAGCTCCTCGCCAAGGCGAAGGATTCTACTTTGATCTATACCAAACATCGGATCAGCTTACCTGGATTAGGCAAAAAAACAAAAACCATGACCCAAAGAAAATACAGAAAGCACTAATTAATCTAACTTCCCAGTCTAAATTCTGAAAAGCCAACCGACTGTTAAGCACAGTAAAAGAATGCTTGTAATTTAGTCTGTGGAGTTTAAAAGTTCATTATCTTTCTATGCAAAAAAGGGTTACGCGTTAAGCAAAACAAATTGTAGTTCGGTGCGGTTAAGGTCGATTTGACGAGTAAATCTTTACTACGCCAGTCGCCCTCTAAAATTAAAGTCAGGGATGGAAAAACGTACCCAAATTTCCGGCATAATTCAATGATATTTACTGTAGAAATGCACCTCGCATGACAACTGGGTTCTTCTTTTCACGGTTGCGCAAACGTTTGGCAATTCAGAAAATGAATACATGTGGTCCATTTCCATTAATGCTTGGAGGTTTTGTTCATGAAATTTTTCTTTTTCTTAAGGGCAGACACAGTAACAAAACAAATTAGAAAAAAATGGAGGAAGTTTATTTTTCAGCCGCGGGACAATCGGAAAAAGAAAGTCTTTTGCGACTGACACCGCACTGAAACCAAATTTCAAGAAAATGCTGAAATTCTCTTAAGATTGAAAGAATCTCCCATCATTTCTTTCAGTCTTGTCACATTTTACAAATTATCGAAAAAAAACCCGTCGAATAATTTGAAAACATCAAAAAAAAAAAAATACCAGGTTTAAAATTGTATGGTCTAATTGATAACTTTTAAGCGACAAGACCGAAAATTTCCTTCTCTGACACGTGCAGGTTAAAATTCACACTGCATAACTACACAAGTTGAAAACATCGGATAAAAGGATTTACGATTTCTTAACTTTCTCTCATTACCACTGTTTAGTCTAATTTCAGTCTCTTTTCAAAGAGAAAGGCCCTCCGATTGTCCTCATTTGACAATAAGTCCTTAATTTACATAGAATTTTCACGTGCGCAAGTTTGATGCGTGCATACACGCCCCTATAGAGTGACATATATTAAATCCCATTCGGAACCCATCAGAATTAGTTGAACTTTTGTAAAGCCGGAAGGATGGCACAGAATTTGTCGTTCTCTATCGCCAATATTCTTCGCTCGGACTTCCCTCCACCTTCTCAGATCAGACAAGTACCGAGGTGTCTTTACTTAGAACGTCTAGCTGAAAGCAGAAATTTGCCATACGTCGCTCTGAGATGCCAACTAGATCGACGAGCTAGCTTCTGTAATGAAACAGAATTTTTTGCCAGAAATTATTACAGCGCGCACACATTTCCTGTAATATCAGAGAAGGATGCCAAGATTCAAAACTCTGGTTATATCAGAGAACAACAAAGAAAGAAAGGTAGGTGAAGTTTGATTTCTTGAACACGCTTTGAACTGTTCAGGTTAAGTTCATTTCCCCTCACTCTCTTCTGCAGTTAGCTCCTAAGGGCAGTTATGTTAAAAACGTGGTTAGCTTTTCACACATCGACACACACAACAAAACACTTGGAATCTCTGACTCTGAGGCGTGTAAGGTGTCGGGGTTAAAAATATTTGTTTGCGTATTTTCTAAGCGCAATTAGTTCAGTTTAAACCAGCTTTGGATTTCTCGCCTTTTGTTTTTAAAGCAAGCATTGAAATTTGGCGCTAAGCGGACATACAATGTTTATGTATGCATTTTAACTCGTATGTTCAGTCCTGCGCTAGGACAGTTTTCCGCCAGCAACTTGTCATTTAACGCCTAAAGAGTGAACTGAAGTGTGAAAAGCTTGTATTCTGCGCGGTGGTAAAATTTGTTCTCAAACGTGTTTGATGCTTTCGATTTCAATTGCCCGCGTTTTACTTTCCTTATGTACGCCATCGGCGTTAATTGAGGGCACTTTTGTCAAAATCCCGCTTCCACGAATTCTCCCCCAGGACATCGACGTAATTTATTGCATGAAACGAAGCGATGGTGGTCAAGGCATCCCAAGCGACCAAGACTCATAAAAAGTTCATTATTCTGATGTTTTTTTTTTTTTATAACCAACCTACATTTCTAGGTACCCTTTCACGTCAGCACACTTAAAGGATTCTTTCCCTGTGGGGAGAGGCCCCTGTTATTGTATTTTTCAGCGGGAAATAGCCGTACGATTGATAAGACACATAAGTCAGCTTTTTAACGCTTATCGCTTTAACTCTAAAGATCTGATTGATACTTCTACCCCTTAGCTGTTATGCATTTCCTTGTAGATTATTTAATGTGTTAGATAAAGATAACAACTCTTACCTCATAACTGGGTTTAAGTACTCTTATTACCTGTCTACAGGATAATGTATGGGTATTGTAGGACTAAGTTACGACTTCTGGAAGTTCTAGAAGAGTAGGTTACCTCGGGTGTTCTCGTCACAATTTCAAAACATTTTCTTGGAAACAGGAAATGAATAAGGAAGAATTGATCAGTAGAAATACGTTGTCTCGATGTAAAACTAAAATCTCCAGACTGATTTTAACAAAGCAGATATTTGTAGCGCTGGTCCTTCGTTAGAGCGTCGTTCGCTTTTGATACGTCAGCTTTAGACACTCTCTAACAGTGGCTAATTTACAACAAACTTAGGTGGTAAAGCCAAATTATCTCATAAAAACCCCCGCCAACGCAGCACTACAGTTTGTTTCGAAACTTACCACCTCCTTTCATTTGATTTTAACAAAGAGAGACGAAGTAGATAAAAATAGAGACATCGTTGACAAAACCAGTCTAAAGAGGAGCTGGTTTCAAACTAAAGGTGATGTAAAGAAAATAATCTTTTTTTACCATTTGTTTCATAGATATATTGGCAGCTAACGGAAATAAAAAGATAGAGGAAGGTAAACGGAGCAGTGAACTGACTGGCACTGCTGCAAAAAGTGCAGTGAAAAAGAAACGGAATCGAAGCCATTTCACTCAGGTGCAGCTTAAGTATTTGGAAGACGTATTTACCCGCCAGCAGTACCTTACACGCGACGAACGCGCTCTGCTGGCGACTGCTTTAAACATGACGGAGCTGCAGATAAGAAACTGGTTTCAGAACAGGAGATATCAGTTGAGGCACCGAGGATTAAACAGAGCCAGACAGGTTCCAGTCAAAGTACTGGTCAGCAGTAGTACAGGGCAGGATTCTGATGATCGTAGCACGTGATGTGCACGAGATCTACACGTGGTGTTCATGGGATCTTGATTCTGGGCTGTTTCAGTCAAATGGCGACAACCTTTTTCTCTTCTCTGGATTTGACTGAGGACTTGAGACTGCTTCTTCGCCATATTGAATTATCTTTGCAAGAATTACTTGCTCTCTTAAAATATTTCTGATTTAATCAAGTTTACTTAGGTCAAAATCAATTAACGTTGATGAAAACTTGATTTAAATGCAAGATTTCCCATCTTAATGTTTTTGTCGTAGTGGGTCCTTCTAATTAAAAGAAATGAGAAGCTTGCTTATTTCATTAAAAAATGATTTATATTAAGATATTTTTGATAGTTTAAGTCATGCAACATTTTGATGTTGTGAAAGGAGCAATTGAAACAAAGTGGGTCTATCTGCGCTCGAAGCTAAGTGTATCTCAATTTTTTTCTGAAAACATTTCTATGAACCCTCCACGCTAACCGTAATATTCATTTTGTCCATACTGCTCTCTTTACATTTTCAGATACCATCAGGGAGAATTTGTCTGACGATCAGGAGCTTTTTGGATTGCTGATTATTTCCTTTACTCTCGGGATCTTTCTATTCGATTTCGGGGTGAGGCTATTAGGAAGCCAGTCACTGTTAGGGCGTAAAGAGTTAATGCTCGATAAGGATGGGTTATCAAATGTGTGCTCGTGATTTTGCCAATGAAAGATCCGCGCTGCCAATTGGAACTTTGGAGCATACATCTAATTTCAATTCAGGATTGACAAAATTGTTTGAAAATTCAAGTCTCCCTTAATTGAGGGTCTCAGTGGTGGCTTTTACGGCTCACGGTTGAAATTTTCATTGGCCATTTTACCGCTACGGTTGACCCAAAATGACATAAAATGACAAATTGGTTAAAGAAGGAATTTTTTTACGGTTAACTTTTTTTGCGACTAACGGTTAGAATTCGCCAAATTTTGATGGCGTTTCACGGCCAACGGTTAATCCCATCTAATTTGCTACACTCTACCTTGACAAACTGGGATGACGCTCAAAACTTCAGCTTCCAAAAAATCTCTACGGTGATTTCAAGTGTGTGTTTGTTGGTTACATGTACTAGATGTAGATTGTGATAAACTCAAGTGTTTTATTTGCCTGTACACGTAACAGAGCAATTCAGTCGTCGTAACAAATTATTTGAAAACTTGTCCTCTTCTTCTCCAACTTATTCCTAACACTCCTATACGTCATGTAACATGAGAGAGCACAGCTATCTTGTAGACTCAATTTTATCCACTAAACCATAACGCAGCGCATGAATGTGCAACACTTTCATTCACATGAAAATCTTAAGAGGGAGATTAAGAGGTTGTCATAACTACGGCGAGGAAAAGGGCATTTGATGCGATCTAACCTTTAAACTTCAATAATTTCGCGAGTTTGTATTCTCACTGATTTCGCTGCCAACTCCAGACACATCTAAGCTCTTTGAGAACTAAGTACGTGAAGGCAGCGTTATGAATGAAATCTGAAAACAGGAAAAAATTTTCTGATGGGGTTCCCTTCCTCAGACAGACCCAAATTGAGGTACTTTCATGGTTTTAAACTATAGAGAAGGTGCAGACTACTAAATAGATCATGTAATATCCGCGATTTTAAACATTTTAAAGGAAAACGCACCAAACATAATTTTCGTGGCTTCAGTGGTAAAATTGCGCCCCATCGACTTTAGTTTAAGGGGTACTTAACTTTGTCTTTATGACGAATATTAAATTCATGAGAAAGGCACGAGTTTTCTCGAAAGCACTTGTTGCCTAACGGAATCCATGAGATATGTCCATGCAGTGTCCTTCCTGTGCGTGCAAAGGTTGAGGGATTTTTCCCGCCGTATATGCCGCCATCAATGATTTTAGAACATACCACTTAACGTGAATTTCATATGACTTAGTGGTATGCTGTGTTCGACATGTTTCGGCAACATGGTGTCAGTAAACAAAGTGCCTGCACAGTGACTTTATTGTACTGTTTTTATTAGCAGCAGTTGAGAAAATGGTGCGCACATATTTCACCGTGATCGACTGAAGAAATGTGGGATTTCTTGAGTGAACTGTTTTGAGAGTACTCTGAAAAAAAATCTCCAGTAAATATTTTAGATTTCTGCTTAATTGGAAATAAGGCTAAGTTAATCTTTTTAGGATCGTTGGATGTACCCTACGATTTCAGCTTTGAAATTATCAAAATTCCTCGAACTTCACTTTTAAAACATTTCTTTATTTTTGAGACATCTTAACGTTTCTATTCATAACATTGTCAGTCCTGCCACTTTGCGCATACAAATGCTGATATTACCACTCGACGGGTTAGAGTTCATATTAAGAATTTCCTCGAAAATCCCAGAAATTTCTGTAGGGCGTGCAACACCCAATCTACCGCCTTCTAAAGAAAGATTACCCGTTCAAGCGTGCTTAGTTTCGAGACAAATCCGATTAATTTAATGCAAAAAGTTACAGTATGTTTTTGATAAGATTTTGTACACAAAAACTGAATTGATCTCTAGTTTGACTTTATTCCTAAATATTTCATACGTTCAATTTCGGAGAAGATTCTGACAAGAGAAACTTTTAATAGGGAAGACACTTCGCAAACAAATTACTATGGATAGAAAGCCTGATAAAAAATTTAACACTGTAATGTGCGTTTGAGAGTTGATAAACAAAAACCAATATTCTGAGCGTGCGTCTATAAAGGAAACTAAAGAAAAGCGCTCTTTTTATCATCAAAGTAAGAAGGTGGAGCTTTCTAGCTAAGCCTTTTTGTTTTGTTGTTTGGTGTCAGGAAGCCGCGATCTCAATTACGTTTGTTTACGCCTAGATATCAAACGCAAATCAAACAGGAAAGAAATTTAGGTACAGTTAACCGATACTTTAGTGATCCAAAGAGTAAGACGCAAATGTACCCGCCTTCATACGTAGTTTTGTCTCTCTGTTAGTGGTCCAGGCATCGATTAGCAGTTTCTACGTACAGGAAAGTACTCCCACGTTGATAAAGATCAAGTTTGCATTGTTACGGCCCGTCGATTTGTCGACTCTCAACTGGGTGTAACTTAGTCTTGTACTTAATGCCGCTCTAACTTGCGTCAAGGAAAATTCCTTTACTGAGGTGAAGTTTTTAGAATGAAACATTAAATAAAGAAAATAATCAATGAAACATACAAAATAACCATTACGTTCCAGGTCTACACAAAATTTCCCGATGCTAGTTCCCGTAACTGATCATATAAATCGTAAGTTTTCTTCGAATCCCCAGTTTTGGAAGAAATCTGTTTTCCAAAGAAAAAAGCTAATTTTATAATTTACAACCAAATTGTTCATTGGGGAATATTTGAGAACTGAAAACAGCTGGAAGGCGATCAATCATGGCGTTAGTTGTCGTTCCAGAATCGCGGAAGCTCCGGCCGGGGCACGGTCTAATTTAATCAGGTTATCGAGATTGAAAAGAAAGGAGTCACTGTTACTTTAGTCGTATTCCTTAGAGACGCCTCAACTAGCCAAAACAATCCCAAATAGTCGATTTTGTACCACATTTATCCTTCCTTCCTTTGCAATACATCACAGCTTTCCTGTCTCCCCGTAGATAAACCGTCTGTGATTACGTAAAATTGATCGAAAGGTCAGTTCACGGTGACTTGAGAAATTGTTCAAGAGAAATTATAAAACTGTTGCTCATCTGGAGTCTGCTAAAGTTATCATAGCCAAGACTCACTTAGAAAACATCACTTAACGTTTATTTATTTATCTTGTCTCATTGGCGCTTCCGCAATTTCTAATTAAGTTCGTGATTCTCCCGTGATGGTCTATAATCATGCGATAAATATGTTTTGTTTTGCCTCAGAAACCGGAAATACGATTCTAATTGTTTAGATTCGTGTGTCACGCACCCAACACGCGCGGACAATGCCATGATGCTTTTACTGATGACGTAACCGGAAATACGTTTAAGAACTTTGCAATTTGAAAAAAAAAAATGCTATTTCATCTTCGAATAATGGCTAAAATTGTTTCGCGATATTTGTTTTTATTTGCTGACTAACTAGAAATAATCCGGAAAAGTAAGGGGACTTGTGTTTTTGTTGACTAAGAAAAATTAAAGTGATGTTAAGAAAATAAGAGGGATTTTTCCCACACTTTTGAGTCATCCCAAAAGGAAGCTTGTCTAATCAGCACGGGGATTAGGTTTAGAAATGTTGTTTTCTTTATGTTTTTTTTTTTTTTCTGGGCTTCTGGCGTGGCGTTATTTATTTACTTTAAGTTTTTCTTGATCCAGAGAAAAGAAACATTCATGGTTCTGTGATTGCAAATTAAACAAATTCTACTCAGTTGAAATAAGCACATTACATCCTTAGCACAGCGATCTCGAAAAAGGACTGACGCACATGATCTTCCTTGTTTCAATTCTTTCTTGATTTTTGTGTATTTTCATAGGAGGGTCATATGTATGTTCCAATTCGGACGGCGTTTAAGGTGCTATAACCATCATTTTTTATCACTGCCTTAGCATTTGTAAAAAATATTTTTTCTGTTGAAAACAAAATTCGGCTTTTAACAAACTGCAAACTCGGCAATTTCTGTTTGAACCGTTCGATTTCAGTTTCACAAGAACTACGGAAGCACTAAGACATTGCGGTCTCAAACTGCCAACAGCAATTGACCTGGAAAACTAGAAGCTCTGCTTTCCCGGAAAAACTGTTCTTCATAACGTGGATTAATTTAATTTGATGTATTTCCCTGAGCGTTGACGGGGGGAGTGCGTTGCGGAAAATCAATTCAAATGCGTTCCTAAAAATAGTAACTCTCCACGGGTCTTGACAGGTCCAGGATAGCAGGCTTTAAATATCTGTGACTAGTTTTTAAGAGTCATACGCAGCCGTCAGAAGTTTCACTTTCTTCAGTGATTTGACATCGTAAGGTCACGTCGCGATACGAACGACAAGCTAGTGATCCCGTATGGATCTCAACAACCAGAAATCGAAGCTATCTTTCTCGATTGAAAATATTCTGCGAGATGATTTTTCTACAAGGCCAAGAAAAGATGTTCCTACACAGATACCATCCATGCATTCTAGTTTTGTAAAATGGCCGAATATTCCGGTGTATCGCCTTTGTGCAGTTCGTTACAACCCAATGTTTGTGCAGGTTTTGCCGCGATGGCAATATGCTGCCGGGACCAAGCTGAACAATATGAAAACAGAGGACCAACAGACGTTTCAAGAGCAGCAAAGAAACATCGGAGAAGACATTAGTTGCTCTGCCTGTGAAGACCCAAAAGGCGAAGGTTGGTTTTAATGTTTAGAAAGCTATTTTTGGAAAAATAATCTTCATAACCACTAGCTGAATGGCAAAATTAGTGCCTTGAACATAATCGATACATTCATTATTGGCAAAATTTTTAAAGCTTCACGGTTTGGTAACCTTAAGTTTTTTTAACCACTGAATAAATTAAGGTTCAAAGTTATTTAACAATAAGTGGGGGCAGGAACTCACAAAACATGTTGTAATGCGTTTATTTAAACGCTGGTAATCCTTCAGACACATCTCACATGATTATGTTTCAGTACCAGCGTGACATACGGCACTCAATTCGTAAGCTCTCAAAGCAGGCGAAAGTCTAAAATTCACTTAGATATAAGTATTTTTACTTATTTTGTAACATGGGTCAAACTCTTCGCGACAAGAGAAAACAAAAGAATAATTGGCGATGTTTTACTCACAAAAATAACTTTATCGACTTGAGCAGGGTCCAAATTTCAGTTAAAACGATGTTACTTTTGATATGACTACTAGTGAAGGAATCGTTCATTTTCCGTCGCTAAAAGGTATACGCCAAAGCAGGTCTAAGGATTTAAGAAATTCTCTTTATATACGCTGGCGTCATATCACGAGGAAGCAAGAATTCCTTGCCTAAAAAGTAGACTTGTATAGCTTAGCATTATCATTATTTCATAGCGGTTTAAAAGAATACGACGGCTAGATGTAAAAAAGGAAAATTCTTGTTGACACCAAAAGTGTGGCCCGTCTTTTGTAATTAGAAATAGCAAGTAAGAACTTTCTGGGCGGGATTAGCTGGGAAAGACCAAAGGAAAAACAAAACCACTGAGCGTTTCGTTTCAATCCCTGAGAAAGAGTGAGATAAAAAAAAAGATCATTCACAGCTCACTAATTTCCTATGCAATTTGAAAAACTTTGCTAGGTTTTGAATGTGATAAAATGATATGCCACGAAGACATCGGCTCATAATGGCCATACTGACCGTGCGGTACCCTTGCTTTTCGTCTGTTTTAAAAGAAATCGCTCAGCACAGGCAGGCCTTGAAACTGTTAACTTTTATTTCACATCGAGCGTGTGAACAGTTAAGATGTGAGCCCCGTTTACAATTCAGTTTTCAAATGCCGCCGTGGTCCACTTCGGGCTTTGCAAAAAGTTTCTAATCTTAAATTTCCTTTCCAAAAAAAAAATTGTTTTCATCGAAGCCCATTTTCAGACTCTTCCTATAAAAAAGGTTTCAGCGCATTTCAGTTAATTCTAAGTTCTCGCAGTTAATATTATATAGAGTCAACTTTCTTACTGCATTTCGGTGTAACCTTTACGCGCTGAGCTGAAAGCGTTTCTCTGAGATTTCTGTGTTAAAATTCTGACCACAACTTCTGACGCACAATCAAAAATATGCCCAGAGTCTGCCTTGAGGTATTCCGCAATCCGATCACATTTTCTGTTTTTCCTTATTACATTCATTTACTTGCGAAAAGCTGTTGGTGATAATTCGATCGTAAGATGTTCAGGAACGATTGAAATGCATGATCGTGCTATTTCGCCATCGAGAGATACATGGGTGTGTTTTGCGTTATTTGCATAAAAAAGAAACCACGCAGTTTAATTTTTTCGTGCAAATGAATTTCCGCTTCAAGTGTTTATATCATGGTTTACAGAGTTTCAAGTGTTTGTTTTTAGATATACTGGCATTTTAGAATGTCTTTTGCCTTCTGTTTAGGGTTGTGTCTTTTTTCATAATTTATGACGCTTTCCACGTCAACCGCCTCAATTACAAGCTTAAAACAAATTCTTTTCTAGGAAAAAAACCGATGATCTTTCAGCGAAGGATAACCATACTTTCCCATTAAGTTGAAAGTATGGTTATCAAAATAATCCAAAATGGATTATTTTGTTTCGCGTCTCTGGGATAATTTATCTCGTGTTATACAGTAAAAGTTCCGATAAAGAATGAATCCTTGAATAGTAAGAACTTAAGCTTTTATATTGTATTCTTTCGGGTTAGAGAGAGCTTGTTCAGAACGTGATCACCCGCCTAGACCTACTGTGGTGTACATCAACTATTACATGATATTAGCGAAAATTGACATACAGTGAGGGATTTATTGAAGACACGCACACTTTGAATAGCTCATATCTTTTGTTTGTCCTGAAATAATCAGTCTATGCGCTTCTTAACGCAATAATGAGGCCCTGACACAATTGTAGCGAAAAATAATCTTCTGTTACTCTATTTACAATGAATACGTTTGATTTTGTTACAGTATTCATACAAGCTAGGATGGGGTTTAAAATCGCAGGAATATCCGCTCAACGATTACAATATCAGAGGCACTCTTGTTATTAAATGTAACCGCAAATGTTATATCGAATTAACTATTTTACGTTTGAGCACTTGAAAATTTTCGAGCACGGATCTTCGTTTCAGTATATAATCCTAAAAATTACCAAAGCTCATATTGTTTTCTGTTTTATTTTCAGACGAAAGAAACGAAAACAAAGCCAAGGTGGAATCCAAATCAGAGAAATGCTTGAAAGTGAAAACTTCGGAGAGAAAACGCCGTCATCGCAGCCATTTCACGCAACGTCAGCTTCAATATTTAGACAAAATCTTTTCTCGCCAGCAGTATCTCACCCGAGACGAACGCACGCTATTAGCGAGGGGTCTGGAAATGACTGAACTTCAGATCAGAAACTGGTTTCAAAACCGGAGATACCAGCGAAAACATCGAGAAAACAAGGACACAAAACCAGATGAAAAGGGTTCGCCATCAAGTGTGAGAAGTGAAGATTAAGTCTTTGAGAAGGTTAAGGCTAAACCGAGAACAGCCAAAAAAGGAGACGAAAAAAGAGATAAAAAAAAAAGCTTTCTAAATATTAACTAGAGGACGCCACTGGGCTTAAAGCGCAAGCTGCGACTAACCATTAAGTAGATACTCTACTTATAAAAAAGAACACAGTTTATTCAAAACTTCATAAAGGAGGATATTGATGTAAACGGGAATGGGATGCCATGTGTTATTATGGCGTTAAAAAAAAGTTTCAACCACTTAAAACCAGAGTAAAGGAATTTTCTATGCCAACGTTATTTATATCAAACTATTTAAATTAATCCTTGAAAAGAAAAACAAAACACATTCAGCAATACGAGGGTACAAAAAATCTTGATTATACAAACTAATGTACTGAATCTACATTTTTGAAGCTCATCATGATAACACGTGATTTGTAAATATTGTAAAAATATTGTGTGATTTATTGAATTCAGAAAAAGGACAAGGAATATACTTTACCAGGGCTTTACTGAATTTGTAGTTGTTATAACTCATTTCTCCGAGATGATCGGGAAATGCTTCGACTATGCGCTGTTGTGCCCTCCCCCCCTGCGGTCTCCCTTCCCTGGTCGCCTCCCCCCTTACTCAACCCACCCTTTCCATCCTCTCCCATTAAACTTGAAATAGTTCTGAGCAAACATTAGAAGGTATTGTTCATGGATAGTCTAGCCTTTATATAAGGGATAATGGTTGGGGGGGAGGGGAGGCTTGGGTGACCTTTGAAGGGGAGGGGGGCTTGGGTGATCCTAGAAGGGGAAGGGGGCTTGGGGTGATCTTAGAAACACAAAGGGAAAAATGATAAGCCTTTATATAGTTTTACTCGTATGAATTTTTTTTCAACAATGAGGTTCCCTAAGTGTGTTCGAGAATTTCACTATATCCATACATGCTTGATGTTTTTACTCAGATTGGCACAACAGATACTGCAACCTATACTGACCTATTTACCTATTTACCTATACTGACCTACCACCATGTAGGGACACTGATAAACTGATTTAATTACGATCTCAAGATCACTCATGTCAAGCTTTGTAGAGTAATTTTCTATATTGTTGTCCTGATAACGTATCCCACGCTCAAGCTTGTGTGATCAGTGTAGAAATATAATTTTAGATAAATTTTTTTTGGGGGGGGGGAATGTACCTGGGGTGATTGTGACATCGCACGAAAGGCAACGCGGAGGTTAACCTCGAAGGTTACGAAACCGAGGCCAGTTCAACTCTAACTGAAGAATTTTTATGTTCATCACTGATTAAACTGGAAAGCCTTGATGATACTCTGAATATAAATCTCGTAATGGTCTTGTTCCTTTGTCAACAGCGTCTATATTTGATCTGATCGCGATCTTTCACACGGCCTAGTTTACATGCGTTTGAAAATAACTTAACATTTAGTGGGGTAACTCTTGCGACTAATCAGCCCCCGTTACCAAAGGGAATCAAAATTACTCAATCCTAAATGGTATATCGCGAGTCAGTAGACAGACGGCATAAATGGAAAGAGGTATTATTGAGGAATTCGTTGTTTTATTTCGACTAATGAATGTTTAGGATAAACGCTCCAATTTTCAGCATGTTTAAGATATTGTAATAACTAGCTTCGGTGTAATTTATTGTATTCCTGATAAATTTTAAACGTGTTTGGATAAATAAATTAATAACCATGATTTATAGACAGAAATATACATGTCATTAAACAAAGTGCTCCTTTTTTTAAATCCATATAACGGAAGCAAGCTTACCGCGAAGAACTTTCTTTTCGAAAATTCAGTAGAGACATACCTCAGATAACTTCGAGCTACTTTTCTTGAGTATCTTAAGTATGTTCACTTTATGGAAGTAGAAACTGACATTGGCGTTTATTGCACGATATGAGGGTCAAAGTTGTTAATAATTGTTAATAACTTTTTGACAATTTTTCTCTGAAAAAAAACAATGAAAAGTAAATGAAAGAGTTGACGAAGTCCGGAACTAACACTGCCGCAAAAAAATGCAGCTCGTAAAATGACCAATTTGATGGACAGGTGAGATATAAGTATTGTATCTTCACAGGATTTTTCACCATGCATAATGCATGGTATTTGAACTTCGATAAATTTAAACGAGTCACATATTGGTCCGCGAAAATTCGAAAGCAGCTCGTTAGTCAAACGTTAAGGATTCTCAACTGGTTCCTTAGTAACTGAAATCAAATATTGCTGCTGTAAGCAAGAGAGCCGCCGGGTCAGTGCAGCCGGGAATAGCCGGGTAACAGGTCATGATTTTATTTTTAAGTATATTAACTTTGTGGCAAAAAGCTAGAATTCAGATGAAAGTTTTGGACTGATTAATAGTTATTTTTATATTTAAAATTCTCTGCATGCTTGTTCTAACTTTAACGTTAAAACTTTAGCGTGTGACCATGCATCTCATTGGAGGCTGCTGAGAATTGCTTCATGTGCCACTGTTTTTCATGCAGCACAAGGCAGTTCGAACTTTTTAGTGGGTAAAATCCTCGTTATGTGACCATCCCAATGAAATAGAAGGGGTAAGTTTCTAAACAAACTGTGGTACTGCGTCGGTGGGGATGTTACAAGATAATTTGGTTGTATCAGTAAATTTGCCACAGTAGAGAGTTTTCTAGGAATCTAAAGCCAAAGTTTGGAGCTTTAGTCGTCCGTTAGAGTACTTTCATTAGGACGGTTTCAGGATCATTCTCTGCAAAGTAGCTTTACTTGCTCAGTCCTAAGACCTTGCTATGCAGCTATTTGATTGAAAGTTTCCCAGCAGTTACGTTAGTTGGTACTCGATATGCTGCTGTAAATTGCAGTTCTTATAGTGTTCAGTTTATAAATAAAACCTTGTAACTATTCAACGAAAGCTTGTAAAATAAAACCCTGTAACTATTCAACGAAAGCGTCTCAGCAGTTATGTTAGATAACTCGATCTATATTGTGCTGTAAATCGTGGTTCTTTCTGTACGGTGTATACGTATGGGTCAAGATTACCCTCTACTGAGCTGTAGGCTTGACTGCGTAGTATTGTTTATTATACTGTTGGCACTAGCTTTCAGTCTGAGGCTAAGCTGATCTTACTATGGGGCCATCCAAATGAAATTATTTGAGTGACGGTATTTGTATGTGGTTCTGTTCATCATGCTTTACAGTATCGTTCTGGGCTCTAGATCTGTGAATGAAGGAAAAATCCTTGGACGATTTCTCCACAATTGCGGTGAACTTTCTCACGGTACAGAAATGTGTGCCTATGTAGGAAAACGAGAAGAAATACTGATTGTCTTTAGAATAAGAAAGGCAGTAATTTTTCTGAACTTGGTCGAGGAATTATGGACGACGTTGTCTGGAGAATGGGACGAGGAATTTATCTGAGTTCCCAAAGAGGAATCGAACTTCAGATTTTTGTATTTTGCGCTCCAGCGCTTGGCTATGACTGAGCTACGGAAACTCAACGGCAAGTTAGGCCATCGCCAGATTCATACTACATATTGGAAGCATCAGTTATGTCGAAAGCGTCATCTATAGGCCTATCGAATAATACAAGGAGTAAATTTTTCCATCATAGATTCTTTAACATTAATAAAACGATATAAATCTTCAAAGTTTAAGTAATTATCGCTTCCACTGGAAATTTTGGTACACAATTGCTGAGTCGTTTTAAGAAGAATTTGTACCGACTGCCTTCTGGAATTTAGCAGAATCGTTAAAAACTTTGATGTAAAAACTATTCTAATGTATATATATTAAACTATTAATGCATACGGCGATCAGGAATCGTTAGAATTAGACGTTAAATCTGATGTTGGACTTGATAGCTTGCATTTTTTCGCGTCCGTTTTTGGCGCCATTTTAATTATAATCAACGAATAACTTTTGAAAAAAGGCTGGCTTTGTCTAGGAGCAAACATTTAACAGACAACATTTTTGTTAATTAAGTGCTGCCTATTGTAACTCAATAAAGAAAAGGAAGAATCCTGTTTAATTTTCAGTTGTTGATCATTCCTTGGTAGTGAAGGAAGCTTTGATAATAATTGCCATTAATAGTTAAGTATTAAAGCCGAATTATTCTTGCCAGGAACAAATGATGGACCCATTAAAAGGTGATAGACGATCATCCTTGCGGTTAGAAACTATTTAGGAGTAAAACCCATGTATTAGGTCATCGGAGCAAAGAAACTTTATCTAAACGCAAAACAATTAAAAGTATTTTTGGATTAAAATATCTCTTAATTATGGAAATTCCATTCCATAGGTCATCGGAGCAAAGAAACTTTATCTAAACGCAAAACAATTAAAAGTATTTCTGGATTAAAATATCTCTTAATTATGGAAATTCCACTTGAATCAACAACTTGATAAGCCTTAAACAGAGCAAAGTTTCCAACAACAGTCAATTTACACGCATTTTGTCATGATTTAATTGTTCGTAATTAAGCAGAACGATTACAACTCCGGGTTAAACGAATTCAATCAAATAACTGTTTTCTTATAGAAGATAAAACTGATATAAGTAGGAGCAACTTGAAATGCGTCTGGTCTGTGTAAAAATTTACGAACATTCACGAATACGGCTGCAGAAATAATCCTGTTTTACAGCTAACTGGGTGGCAAGCTAGTCAGACTCTAGAAAATACCATAACGCAACAGATCAAAATTTTTGAATAAAATAACTAAGAAAAGCCAATTAATACAAGACACCGATTTCTTAAATCGCAATTCATCTCCAAAAAAAAAAACTCCATCAGCCTTACGTGATCACAAAATTTACTGGAATACCGAACAAACGCTTTGTTAATATTCTGTCTCAGTGCGGTTCTTTAATGTTTGTGGTCAATTTGCACTCAGCTCATCTAAGGACATTACTTATTATCACGGAAACAGTTTGAACACCGGTTAAAACAACACAGCTTATAAATAGTCTTTTGTTTAACACAAGCTAGACCCACAAACATCCGCGACATCTATTCCGGCGACAACCTTAGTCCATGTCAAATTCCTTGTACAAAAAAGTAAGTAGAATTCTGATTTCGTGTGTCCGGTTTTCAGCAATGCTATTTTCAAGATTTATGATACTATATGAAGTGTATCGTTGGCGTAAATAGTGAGGCAATATGTACCGGTGTTCTGAAAATAGCAATACTTGAGAAAACATGCCCCGACGACATATTACTAAGAGGCGGTTTCTTTAAATAATAATGACAATAACAAGCTCACGAGTTGTCTATAAAATGAAACCACTTTCGCTGTGATCACAGTTTAGACAACTTCAGGTCACAAACTGCTGTCGTCAAAATGGATTTGTCCGAACAAAAAACGAGTCTCTCATTTTCGATCGAAAATATCTTACGAGAAGACTTCGCCCATCGACGTAGGCCGAATTTTGTTAACTTCTCCACGCGGGGCGAGTTAGATTACGAGCGTTGGCCAAGCTCACCTTTTTATCAGTGTTGTTCGGTGCGTTTCCTAAGCCCCGGCTTTGTGAAATGTTTACCCAATATTCACAGAGTGGAGGACAGATTACAGAGACCGAATGCAGCAACAGAAAACCTTTCTTTAGAAGAAGAGAAGAAATCTTTGGAGGAAGATAGCTTGGGTTGTAAAGAAAAAGTGATTCTCCAAGAAAATGGTAAGAGAACTTCGTTTGGCTGAAATTACATCTTCACATTTGAAAGAAAGTGATATTTTAGCCTCGGGCGGAAAAAACGGACGATTTGAGCTCTACCTTGATGGCTATAAATTCCAATAGATATCAAACTATCTATAAAAAGTAGTGCAGAACGCGATAAATTGGAAAAAATGTAATGTTCGAATTGTTTATTTCTGGCACCGTGCGGAAAACTTAACGGTAATTGATTTGCTATGAATTCAAGGTAATTCCAAAAATTTTTCATCTATAAAAGGATAAAAAATGGGACTTTTCTCTTGCAATTGAATTAGACGGTTAACGTTTTATAGTACAGAATTTGACCCTTTGGGGGAAAGTTCGAAAGTCGCAAAAATTCATCAGAACCGAAGAGTAGGAAAGATGAATTTTACTTATATTTGCCTTTCTTGTCAAGCCCTGTTTTCGATGTTACGTCATACGAGTTTTTATGTTACCAGCAAAATAGGGAAGCTTTAAAAATGATATGACTAGAAATTTTTGAAAAAACTTTTCTTTTTCATTCCGGATGGACTACTTCGAAAATAAAGTTAATTTATTTTAGTGGATGCTAATGACCCATCTTTTCACTTTTTACCCATTAGTACTGATAAAAATTTATCTTTTTTTCTTTCTTGGTAAAAGAATTTGTTTAGGAATAGTCTAAGGGAAATTACCCTTTTCACTTCTAATGCTACAATAGCGAAGAGTAAAATGTGTTACAATTTGATAGACCTTCTTCCTCAAAAGTAATTTGGATCACATTTTTCTTTTGAGTTGAAACAGAAAAAACATTTTTTGTCGTCGAGAGTAACAAATATGAGAAATTCATTTGTAACAAAGGCGGCTAAGAGGAATGTTGCATGTTGTAATTCTTCAACGGTCTACGAGTGAACCCTCTTTTTGCATGTGGCCAATATCTTTTTTCAGTTTTGTTGCATATTTTTGTTTCGTGATGGTTGAATTGTTTTTGTGCCGGGTTTGGACGACGAAATCAACAGCGTTGGCGACTTTGGACATCCGCCCGGCAATATTTGTTAGAATACCGTGACTCGCTAAAAAACAAACCAGTATATCGTGGACAAATATTGATCTTCCACTGGTTTAACACGGCTTCATTGCAATGTATCCAGTTCGTACGAAACATCTTTCAATAAGCAGTCATTTGGACGTGTGCAGACTGAATATAGCGTATTTAGTTATCTTGAAAAGCCATTCGTGAGTGAATCGGTTCCTCAACTATAGACATATGAACTCTGTTGACGTAAATCAGCGGAGGTAAAGTGATTTGGGCGTGAAGGTTTTTTACATTATGTATATCCGCTTCATTTAAAAGAGGTTTGAGTGTTTGTTTAGTCATATAGTGGCCTCTAAGATCGTTATTTCAGCTGGTTTTCGCTTATCCGTGCATTAACTCATTAATAACATACTTGGAAAACGTGCATCCTTGAAAAATATTTTTCTAGGCGTTTCTGTCCCGAAATGCTCATACAGGTTGGTTAGGGAAAGACAAAACGAAGAAAAACAAGATTAAAGAAATGAAATTAGTATTGGAAAAGATCCCAAGACTATGTATTTCACTTAAGATCTTAGACAAGGTAATCACATTCCTGATTTAGCTAGCAGTTAGACAATGGAATATAGAAAAGAAAAACAAAGTTTGGTTCTAAATGGTCTGGGTTAATTTTCGTGTTTAACACTCACATAACATAAGTAAAAGGAAGTATGAGTTATTTGCGAAGGTTTTTGCAGGACGTGATATGTGAGATTTTTAAAATTGTCTCATTTCGCAGCTGCATTGCGATAACAAAGACGAGGAAGGCGAAATTTTGGTTTTGCGTGTAAATAAGAGAGCTGTATTGATTATGCTCTGTTAGGCGAGAGAATCACCACTCGTATATGGTTCTCGAACGTTAGTAGCTATCATGAGTAGAAATCAAAAGGCAGAATTTATATCGTTGATCAACACTATTCAAGAATGAGTGCGCTATATTGAACCAAGTAAACCAGACCATCACGACAACAATTTCATTAAGCTCATCAATTTGGACGAATAGCTGGTTAAATAAACAGTTGACTACTGGCTAAACATTTTAAAATCTTTCTTTCCTCTCAGATGAAAGATGCGAGAAGGATTCTGGTCGAAGATCAAAGTCGGGAAAGTGCATCGAAAAAGGAGTTAAGCCGCGGAAAAGAAGAAATCGAAGCCATTTTACTCAGCGTCAACTACAATATCTCGACAAGATATTTTCCCGCCAACAGTACCTTACACGCGACGAGCGCACGCTATTGGCGAGGGGCCTGGAAATGACTGAACTTCAAATCAGAAACTGGTTTCAGAACCGGAGATACCAGAAAAGACATCGAGGTCAAGAAGAAAAGAAACAAGTTGAACAAGAAATGTCTGTAGCGTGAAAAAAAAGTAGAAATTCACCTCCAAGTAAAATGCGCTTTCAAGACAAAAGAAAAAGAAAAGGTGTCCACGATAAATATTTATGTTTTTGTGATATAATATAATACATTTATTTTAAAAAAGATGGCGTAAGTCCTTTAGTTTATGTACATACTGAGTTAACTTACTTAAAGTATTATTTTAAGTTATCGTATAGACGATTTTTTCCTAAGAAACTCTAGCATATTGATGCAATTACGAAGGGTTGTAAAAGTCAGAATCGTTAAAACAGAGCGGCGAATTCCATTCTACTGAAGATACATTCACAGTGATTTGAGGACATGTTCGCTCTTCCAATATCCTGGTCTCGCCCGCATTTATATTTCAAAGTAATGGATTTCATATTTGCAGATACTGTTATTCATTCTGAAAGTTATTAATAGCGAAGAAAATCGCAGAGAAGTAAAACTACAATACTGATGTATTATTGCGAACAAGTTTTGGAGGAAAAAGAGATGTTATATTCCTGCAGAAGAAGATGGGATTTTTCGTAAAAGTTTTATTTTATAAGAAATTTCAATCAATGGATCAATGAGAAATCTCCAATTTAGTTAAGTTATTGGCAGAAAAAATTTTAATGATGACATACTGAAAAATTAAAGTTGATATTTCAAGAATATATATTTTGTTCCTTGTTGTTCAGCTTGCAGCAGATACCGGTGAGATTGTGTCTAACAGAATCAAATTATCCTTAAATGCATAAAACAACAAAAAAAGTGATCCACAATCGGTTTTCTGTTTAATATCGAGTTATATGACACCGAAAGAATTTGGATCTTTAAAAGAAAAAAAGGACACCTTTATTTCTGCACATTTCTTTCGATCTCTGTGCATGCGGAGATCATGCGGGAAACAACAATTTCTTTAGGGTGGGGCATTTCTAAAAATAACTCGGTCATTCAGGAAAAAGTAACTTTTTTTTTTGTGGGCAAAGTCTACACTTTCTAAAAAAATTTCAAGTTTATCTATCCCTGATAATGCTAAAGCGATTCCGGCCTGAACACTATGGGTATGCGCATACGAAATAACGAAGGCATCAAGAAACAGTTGGAAGTGATTACCTTTACCTCTTTAGTAGACTACACATATATCCTCGCCTTAGCACTGACGAGTCGGCTCTATTTTAGTCATCGTATCAGTACCTCCTGAAATCAAACTCGGTTGGAGTAAGAACAGAAAATCTGTACAAATTCAAAAGAACTATCATTTCAGTCTGTTCTGCAACTGCTCTTGACGGAGTTTGCGTGTTTCATTTTAAATTTCAGAATTAGCGTGTTTCGGAGGAAAAAGACGCCTTTAGTGCTGTCCTTGATATAAAGGATAAAGAGCCATTTTTGGCGTTGCACTTAAGGAGAGCATAAACTGTTGCTTTTATATTAACTTAGGTGGATTTAAGTGTATTTATATTTAGAAACAAATGCACTTAAAAGCTCTTAAAGATTTTGTTAAAGCCACTTGTTACTTTTAAAACAGCTTTGGTGTATTATGTTGTATCATTTTTTTCTTTAAATGAAATATTACTGTTTTTCACATCACTCTACGGAAACTTTGTCAATTATCTGAACATTTGTATGTGTACATCGTTCTAAAGTGATTGAAAACAAAACCGGGAAGAAATTTAAAACTTATTACCAACGATCAATCGAAACTGAGTGGACATATTTTTAATTTGGTGTGGGAACAAAGTGTTACCGCATTCTTCTCATGGTTTCTATGTTAAGTAATTGTGAGATCCTTTGAAAAAGCTATTAAGCACCTGGAGATCTTGGGTGTTGGCTTGTGGACTATGAACAGAATTTCTAGCATTTGAACTTAAACTAAAGAAATGAAACAGTAGATACTACGACTGTTAACCGTGTTAACATTGAAATACCGACGGGACACACACAAAATACAGAAGATTTCTAATCTTCAACGAAAATGCTTCCTCAGTGTCACAACGCCATTGGATAATCTTGCTCAAGGCTCCCGGCGGAAACGAGAAAAAAATCGAAGTCGTAATGTCGACGGACTACAAGATATACGGTGAAGTTTCGAAGGTCTTGAAGGCCATGTTTACCGAGTCCTCATTATGAAAGAGTCGCCTCTCTCTCTCTCTCTGGTCACTCAAAATTGCATCAAACTCGCTTCGTTCACTTAAATATAGTTGACTGGATGTCTTTTATGACAAACGACGCCTGAACGGTAAAAATTAAACTTTTTTTTCTGTCTGGCCGGGTTTTAGCCGTTCGTGAACAACAGGGAAAATATTTGTTTTAGCAGTGAACTGACAGATGAGGCAAGCGCTGACACGAGATTTAGGAATTTTTAATTTGATTTTACTGTCCACAATTGAGAGGTAATTAAGCAGTCACACTGAACGACGAATATCCGAGTTAGTTTGAGGGAGGAAGTGGTCAGCAAAATTACATTTTTCTTTTCTTTTCTGTTGTTTCCTGAGGGAGAGTGAGAGAGAGAGAGAGAGAGAGAGAGAGAGAGAGAGAGAGAGAGAGAGAAAGAGCACTTACTTTGTCGAGTAGTTTTGTTCTAATAACATACGTAACTAAGCGGTATCTTTGTTGTGGTACGGCTTCGTAAGAGATCATAAAAAAAGCTTATATGGGTTTGACACGGGCTGAAGTAAGATATTTTTAAACTGAGGTATTTGTGAAAGATTTTACACGAAGTTCACAGCGACTAACCATATTTCTTTTTTGTATCATACCTCTTTAACTGAAATGTGAACTCAGTAACTTATTGCATATGTAGACTCGCAACAAGTTATGTCCCGCAGGCAGAGTTTATTTGACAAAAATTTCTAAGTTATTAAGGAGATCTTTCTAAGAAAACGCCCAGATCTGGTCATATGGATCATGGCCCGACATCACAAATGAGCACAATTAAATTGTCTGAACGGAAATAGAGTTGAAGCGAGTTACGGAAAACGACGAGGTCGTTCGACTCTCATGAATTGCACGCAAGAAATTTTTGCGCAAACAGAAAACGAACAGTGGTAAACATGAGCTGAAGTTACTTGTTTTTGCGAGTTGTTTTCATTGTTTACGTGTAATTATATTAAATGCGAGGAAACACAATTTAAAAGCTGATATTTCAACTTTTTTATTTTTATCTAGAGCTACCTCGGGGGGTGTCCATTACTTCATTAAACTCAATGCGTTGCTAGGCAATTGGAGATTTTAAGACTTCCGTTTTGGCGCCAGTTGCTGTCTATTTCAACCCGAATGTTTGTTCATTCGAAGGATGTTTATATAGATTCTATCTTGAATGCGGTCAAAAACAACAACAGCAACAACAGCTGAACCATGATGAATGAAAAGAAATCATTCACAAACACTAATTGATATGTTGAAGAAAATTTGGTAGTTTTTTCTTATATTTTTCGTTAAGTTGAGATTGACCTAGGGTTCGGAGACAACAGATCTAAGCATGATATGTAGATAATCGTAAAATTCTTGTTTTGAAAATTAAAGATTAAAGGAAATCTCTGCACTGGTATCAGATTTTCGTTTTCAATATCTTAGTCTTAAACCGTCTAGTATATTCATCATGTACTTTCTCAATTCTTTAAGAGACTTAACATGCAGTCCTTGCGCTCCGTTTTATTTAAACCCTCTCTTAATTTTTCTATTACTTTTTTTTATCGATTTCAAGTTTAACCCAATGAAGACCGTTTTGTGGGTTCGTGACCCTCTGGAAATAAATATATGTGATAATTAAAAACTAATTAATATCTTAAATTGATGAGATTGTCTATTAGCGATAGGCCCATACTTACAAACGTGATCACCGCACACGCAAAAATGAGACGGGAGTGTGTTCTCTCAAACAATACTTAACGATGATTTTCTAGATCCTTCAGAAACATCAAATAGCACCGCAGCACTTAGATATTAACTTAATTTCATATAGAGATCACTATGTAATCAACGAGTTAAAAAAGAGTTGAAAGCTGATGTAAACATCTGACCGACGCCAAGACAAGCGATCACTTATAACAAAACGGAAACGCTTTTTATGTTAAAGTAATATATCTCGAAATAATTAGTTTTGATCAATTTTATGCACGCGGACGGTGAAATCTTTCGAATTACCTTGAAATCTCGTTTTGCTCATGAACGGGGAGAGTTGGGTTTATAGCAACACCGACCCAAGTTTGATACAAGGAATTTGTGGTTGTCATGTTCACTTTTTTGCCAAAAGGGTAGGCTTGAAGTGTCGCGTGTATCAAACCATTGGCGGGAAAAATATCTTGTTTAGATATTGGCACTGACGTAGAAAGGATGACTTTAATTTTCGCCGCAATCACATAATTTTTTTTATAATCTGAGTGCGCGCACTTCTTTTTAGTTGCTTAAATAACACGTAACAAAGGATAAAAGATAATCTTTGAAATTTTTTACTCCTTTTTTAATCTGCCATCTATATATGGCTACTGCTTTTACGATACAAAAGTTATTTTAATAGTTGGTTTATTATCTTTACGTTTTTGATTTGTAACTGCAAAACAGTTTGCTTCGATAAGGTCCCCATGATATTTCCTCTTTAATTTGACATCGAGAATTTATGTAATATAATGTTTTCAAAACCTACGTAGTATTGCAAAGATCAAAATAGAACTCAGATAGGACTCAAAGCTGGAGTTTGCCATTTTTTGTGCAACTAGTAATTACTAAAAAAAGCTGAAATAGATAATTTAAAGTTCTGTATAGAGAGATAAACAAACAAAAGGGCAAAAAAATTAGAAAAAAAAAACCATAGAAAATGCAACTTTTGTCTGCGACAATTTTTGATATTTTTTTACCAAGTTTTTACGTGACATGAATACTTAATTAATTCCAACTGCAATCAATTCAAGCGCAGCGGTGTCTTTTTATCCTCAGTGTCATACAGGTTAATTGGTACAGATTCTTACTAAAAAGACGTATTGTTGAAGGAGCTTCTAATATTTTGATTATCATCATGATTCCGTTAAGATGGAGGTCTTTTCTGAGTGTGTTGCTAAAAGAGTGAGTCTGCAATGCCACTTTCCTCTCTACTGTAAGAGTCGGTTATATTCGTGAGGTGGGGGACAGTTGAAACTTCGTTTTAAGTGCGTTGTGATATCAGTTCTTCCCGAATAGACAAGTGGGACATGGAAATTTCAATATTGGAATGAAAAGATCTGTGAATAACCGGGTAAAAAGACTAAAAATGCAAATAATTAACGAGCTAACTTTCGGAACGGATATGTCATTCGACGAGTTAGTTTGATACAAATGCTCTTTTGGTTAAATGCCAACATAGATCTGCACATCTCAGTCATACATGCAATAGGAACTGTCATCACTGAATCAGTCAGAATTTCGACTTTGAAGTCACCTTTAACAAAGTCCGAGCTTTAGTTAACTTCTGCCAATCACAGATTGGTAGAAAAATGTATTACGGTATATTTTCTACATGCAATGACTTGTGTCTTACAAAGAATAGTCAAAACTAGATAGCATTCACATGAAGCTTATCTTGTACTCGGGTAATAGATTGTCTGAGAAAAAAATACAGTGCTTAAGTTACATCAGAACTCGAAATAGGAAAAGACTTCGCAAATGCGAAATCTTTAATTGGCCTTTGGCACAACATCTCAGTATAATTGTTCTATTGAATAAACGGCGCGCTCTGAACAGTCTCCTTTCGATTCAGAAGAATAAAAGTCTTTCACGAGAAAAATACTGAATAAGGAACTTTCCGAGCTTAGTTATGTTTTCTGCAAGTTGCTGAAAGTACCTTTAAGGCGCTTTTTTTATTTGTCAGCCAGCGACCATTGCAATAGAACGGCAAGATCAACGTTTGGTACAAATTCCTACGAGGAGGAAGAGAATAATAAATTTACGAATTTTTAAACATTTATGACTTATCATTCAAAAAGTCAAAACATGGCAAACACTCCAATATTTATCATGTTTTTTAATCTCTATATTCTTTCTATATAAAATATTTTCAACGGTATGGTTCTATTTTCGTGGGGGGATATTTACATCTCATTTTTTTTTTTGATATTAATAATTCTAAAACCATCGCTTTTTCACTGAATATTTTCCGATAGATCAACTAATTTGTCTTTCAAACATACAAACTTGCACCGAAGAATATCGTTGTTTAGCTAGTATATTTACAGATTTCGCTATATTTCATCAACCATGTTTCTTTTTTTACTTTACTACTTTATAATAAGATCGACATTAGCCAAAGTTGGACTTCTGACAACGCACTGGCTATGAAAATAAATCAACGCTCTTTTCTACCTTATTATAGAATAATAACTGTTTTTCTTTGAACATGTTGGTGGTGGCGCAGTAATTTGTCTAATGGGATCATTCGCTTAGTCAGCGAAATCGGATGGAATGTTTCTCCAGATTTGAGAAATCAGAGTTCTTCTTCTTTCACACATACTGACGAATCTGGTTCCTCTTGTTTCGATTTTTCGTTGACGCGTTGTTTTCTCTGGTATCTCCGGTTCTGGAACCAGTTTCTGATCTGAAGTTCAGTCATTTCCAGGCCCCTCGCCAATAGCGTGCGCTCGTCGCGTGTAAGGTACTGTTGGCGGGAAAATATCTTGTCGAGATATTGTAGTTGACGCTGAGTGAAATGGCTGCGATTTCGCCGCTTCCGCTTACCGCTGGCCTGGCTTTTTTCATTGTAGCACGTTTCTCTCTTAGATTGTTTATTCATCTTTTTGCCAGTGATTTCGTCTAATGGAGAATAAATAACACAGTTTAGTAAAGGCTTTCTGGCATTTTATAGATGATTGCTCGTACATTTTAAGTTAGATATACTGTACCAGAAGCTCAGTGAACAATTTTGTAGGTGATATGTTTTCGTGAGGTTTAATTATGACATACAACTACAATATATCAGTTACATGCGCTATTCATGTTGCCTTTTGATCGAGAAAAAGGCTCACAGTGAAACGTAAATATCCCAATGAAGGAAATATTGTCATAATTGTTCCGGAATTGATTTGGGTGATTTTTCATTGTTCCGAAGTTTTACGAACAAAAATCTTGGAAAAGTTCTTTTCTATTCAGCATTTATAGCCATTTTACTTGATGCCGTGATTTTGTCTGTTAGTTAATTCAATATGAACCACTTCCTCGAGATAGACCATACGATGCCGATGACAGCTCAATACCTTATCGCGGGCGGGGTACATTAAATTCCTTACTTTCGATTAATTGTATCACGAAACACGTAGAAAGGAACCTTTTTGTCAAGTTGAAGCAAGTTCTATGAAGCTATTCGTACTTTACAAAAGATTCTTTAATTGCATTTTGTTGACTGTCTCAAAAGCTTGATAAACAATATTTGGATGATCCAATAACAGTTCGAAACGTTCTTAAACATAATACGTTTAAACCTTTAGAGAGAATAACAACACAAATATACTGATAATTTAAAATCTGGAAAAACAACAATATTTCATATTAGCACTTATCTTACTGCCAATGCAAGTTTCGTCACGAATACGTTTGAGGAAAAAGGTATCAATGTTGTTAACAAGACGGATTGTTCAACTTTATCAACATGTTCAAAAGGAAACTTTAAAATTTGTAAGTCTAACTGTAAAACTACGTTCTTTAGTATTGCAGCGACTAAAAAACGATTGATAAATTCAGTGCGAAAAGATCATAACTTATTGAAGTTAGTCCATACAACTGGGAACGTGCGTCCTTCATATTTGGAAAGTGGTACTCTGTGAACATTCCAAATAGCGAAAACTCCCTTTCGTTAAAAATCTTTAGACCATTTGTATCGGTTTGAATGAGATGAGATCCACTATGATTTAGTTGTTAACTGCGCAACATTTGGCTTATACAGATACAGTCAGAGAAAGAGTCCAACATTTGAAGAACTTTTACGAGCTGAAACCTGTTCTTAATTAGTGTATTGCGTTGTCTAGACTCAGATAACATTGGATAGGAATTTGGCATCAAAAAAGGTATGATACAATTTCAGACTTTTCCCTCGATACCATTTTAGCAAACATTTTAGCATTTAACATTGAGCACTTGAGTTTTTCACTGTTCTTGAGCTAACAGGAAGTCGTAGCCTTTACTTCGTTGTCAAATTTCATATAAATCCCTAAGAATCCTGATGGCATGCAGAATCGTGCTTTTTCAGCTTGCGGTTTCTGAGATACAGTATAGCACTTTAGATCGCTTAAGCAAAACGGATGAATGTGTTCTCAAAAGCCACTATTTAGCCAAACAAACACTTACAGCTCTTGTTGACTAAATCAATATTTCCAAATAACAGAATTTTCACCTCGAATTAGTTTGATTTGCCCAGCCTTCTACCATCGTGTTCTTGGTGGAAATCTCTTTCTCAGCAACTAAAATTCTTTTAATATTCAAATTTTGTTGGGAGAGATTATGAATTAAGGAAAACTTAATGGAAAAATGTTGCGAGATCAATATTTAAGTACATAAATACAGGTTGATTGTCACGTATAAATTTCTGCTGATCTGATATTGCAACGAACGAGCGATTCTAAATATTGCTGTCGACTTTACTGAACTACTCTCGTGTATTAGAAAAAACAACGTAGACACTCACGAAAAGCGTATTCATAAAATTGAAGTCATTCACGATAAAGAATTGTTCTTTCCTTGAGCATTCTGTTCAAAAGCTATCAGTAAAGTGAAAGGCAGAGATCATTTACATAAACTTATCAACGACTCTCAGCGGAACGGTTAGTGCCATGCAGATCCGAACAAAACTTTATGTAAAACTTGTAATCTCGTTTTTGCTGAATTTTGACTGCACTCATGGGGGCGTTTAAAGGAAATAACATCCATGTGAAATTGTGCAAAAGCTTTATAAAATATCAATTTTCGATCGTTAGTTGACGAAATCTCAATTTGTTTTAATTGATTTAGACTTGTATAGTCACAGCTCAAGAACACAACAGTTCAGCCTCACTGAGATAATGTTTCGTGTTTCAGAAGATATCGGCCCTAGCTTACAAATTGTTTTGCGTGTCGGGTGAAAGGGAAAAATGCGATCAACTTGATTAAATAGCTCGCTAAATCAACAATACATGACCCTAGCTCTTATTCACCCTTAACCTGCTCGACACAATACGGCAACGTCTTGAGTAGTTTAAGGTGTAAAGAGATATTTTCCGCCATCGCTTTATCAATTAGTCCTGTATAAAATAGGGACTCAACCGAACGTATAAAGACAATCAACATTATACCATAATGTTAGGAATAGCAAGCAAAATAGAAATTAAACCTATAATGAACACAATAATAAATCTTCTATTTCCTTTAAGAATTTTTTTTTTGAGGAAGTGTTTCTCAGTTGGACTATGGGTCAATTTGCTCTAAAGCTCGAACGAGGAAATGTTTTTATCTTTGTACGTGCCTAAAAAGCGCATGTTTGGGCAAGAAGAATTGATCCTTAGATGGACAATAGAAGGTTCAGTGTTATTTTTATCATCCAGGAAATTATCGCCGACGCCAAGTTAAAACAAATTAAAGCAATCAAAAAACAAAACGTCGGTCTGAGACAGACTGAAGTGTTGCTAAGTAAACACTGCAGTTATAGCACAAAAAGGTTTTTAAAATAACTACTGAAGGACAGCTGATTGGAAAGCGCATACTTGCTGGAGTGGGTCATCGATGATTATTTCAGACCTGACAATCTTCTTTTTTTTATTTAAATACACCTTCGTGTTTTAGTTATTCTCTGTCATCAAATTTTGCGGCTTAGTAGAGCAACTAAAGTTTTTGAAGTTAGTTCTGCTTACCATGCCTTTGAGAATTAAGAGCTTCATCGTTGTAACTTAAGCTATCTTCTGTAATCTCCTTCTGTTTCTCTGTTAGAATTCGCTCTTTCTCTCCGTCTATCCTGTGAAGTCTTCTCTCAGGTCCGTAAACGCTTGGCAGACATTTCATGAAAATTGGACTGTAACGGAGAGGGTAGTAACCACATAATGATAGTTCCGACCATCTTTCAAGACCCAAGGCTTGTTGTTGTACATTCGCAATGTTTGTTTTCTGTCCCCAAGGAAAATCATCCCGTAAAATGTTCTCAATCGAAAATGAAAGATTTTCTTTTTCTCGTCGAGATTCCATTAGGACGGACCAGTAGCAATTACAACCTTGTGCTATATAGCGACGGACGATCAGCGATCAGCGATCAGACAGACACCCGATCTGTCGAAAGTGAAATTGTCTCTGCGTTAAATAGTTCTCAAATCCCGTGGTCACGCGTGCGTGAGATTTAACCACGCCTCTCTTCACCTGTCGGGACAAGGGTTGGTTATTTTAGGAACACGCCACAATATTGTTTAAGTGGCGATATCGCTTGAACACACTATAAATGGCAATTCTTTTCCGTAACCTTAGAATCTTGTGATTTACTTAACTGAAGCCGTGCCCAGCAGTTGACATCCTCATTAGAGCGTGATAATTAAACTAAGTATGCATGATATCACTTTTGAAGACTGTTGACAAACCACAACTACTGTATTAAGCTGATCTTTTGTTATACGAACACGTCAAGCATGCATTTCCTTATAACAAATTCCCGTTTGGAAAAATACGCTGCCACACGAGTAACTTTCATTCCAAAAGTCAATGACCCTCCAAAATCTGACTGATTCGCTGTCTGTACGTTAAACCAAATCTTAGAGGATAGCTCTAACGCGACGTAAATTATAAGGCATTTATATATCGAATTCTTTGTTACAATCATACAAAATAAGCAGATTAAGAAATAATCTTGGACAGTCAGCAATGCTCTTGAATATGTTGTCTCGGATATGTTTGTATGACTCCGAGGGCAAACCTACTATATCGATGGCGATATTCAAAACATTTTGGAAAACAACTTCTAAAAACAGAATTACCCGGTTCAATCAACAACCCTATCATCAATATAACTCATATTTTAACGTTGCCTACTTGTTAGTAATTAAGCGTTTCCTTTGGTTCTTATTAGTTAAAACCCGTCGAAAGTACTTCCTCTGACGTTATTCACGCAACAAGCGCCCCCTAAATTTAACGCTTTACTAACCAGGGCATGATGGGCGCGTGACAAGGTGCACCTTGCTTCAACCGACAAAGTAACCTTTGTTTGCGGTCTTGTAACAAAGCTGGCTTGATTGCGGTGAATTAAAGCTTTTAAAGATTGAAAGCCATATTAGGAAGAAGTAGTGCTTTCGTGAGAAAATGGTTGCTCTTTACACTTTAAAGAAGTATTAGAGGCAAATTCATGGCCACAGACGAGTTGCCGATGAGCAAACTTTGATAACTACCTAAGTCAAAGAGAGACGAAAATGCTACATTTTCTTCCCTTTCTTCGATAGTACCAAACGTAGGAAACTAAAACCTGACACATGCAATTTAATTGAATATCCCTGCTTCTGAAGTGATAATCATTTCTCACGGCCTAAGCTTGTTAAAATTGTTGAAAATAACACACTAAAAAAATGAGTCAGCAAGTGTGAAGCCCTTGGCACATCTTACAACGATGTTTAAAAAAAATTTAAGATGTATGTCAAACCTTCTTAAACTCAGTGGTATATTTCGAAGGTAATTATTCGGAAAATATACTTGATTCATAAAATGGCAATCAACAGTGAAATTTTGGAAGGTAGCAATAAAATGAATAGAAGGCAACATGGTCGAGTGGTCAGCGTGTCGGACTTGCAATCCGTCGCTCCCGGGTTCAAGTCTCGCCCTGGCCACTTCTTGGATTTGTTTCACGGCAGCCCCGAGTTTCAGATCCTCGGCCATGCTTGTCAAATAGCCAACTGGTTTGCCTTGGGCCAGTTGGGATTCTTAACAACGTTATTTTAAATTTGAATTAATTGTTTAAGTTGTTTCGCGGAAAACCTGTAAACTAGCTTCTAGCTACGTGTTTCTTCACGTTAAACTGTTTATTATTATTATTATTATTATTATTATTATTGCACGTTTCACTGAGAATTTTAAAACTTTTCTCGACCGGAAAATGTGCGATTGCAGAACAACACGACTCTACCAATGCGACAGAGTCGCATTTAGTTAAAACATATCGATTGAAGAAGAATGACCGTTTATTGATGAAAATTTAATAGTATTCGACGAGTTTTAAAACTTTTCTTATAAAATACAAAAATTCATATGCTAAAGAGGAACTCTTAAATAAGTTTTAAACTTTAGCAGGATCTTAAATTAACTTTTAAAAATTTAAAAAGCCAAGGTAACTTAAAAAAAGAAACAAAAACAAAACATTATCTTATTGTTTATTCATAATATAGAGCCAGCATTGAAAGAAAATCTTTGATACTTTTTTTAAAAAGGATATCTTAAAGCTCCGCTTTAACAGGATTTTTGGTCATTATCCCCTTTAAAAAGAGGTCTATGACGCACGTTCAGGAGATCGGCGTTTGAAAAGATTTGCATCAGAACATTATGAACAGTACACCTCTTTAGAATGATATAAGTTTCTTTATCGAGTTTTGCCAAGAAAGTATACTCTGTTGGACATTATAAGCCTATAGTTTAGTTTAACTTGTTAGATTATTTAAAGAAGACTTTTAAGATTTATAAGAAAGATTTGATCTGAACAATATCGAAACTACTGGACAACACTCCACGTTTCATTTTGAAACTGATTGGGTCTCCAATTTCTCTTCTGGCTGAGTTTTGAAGGCGTCATTTCCGTGTAGACGCGTCACACCTAAGCCATTGTGGTAAAATTTTAGAAGAAGCTATTCAAATATCGATCAGGCATCAGCGACTCCCTCTGTAAAGCTGTCTGCGAGGGGTGCCAGTGTTCCGGACTCCATGGGGTTGGCACAAGTGTTCTCAGGACAGCGTGTTAACCTTGAACAGTCTCGATAGTTTGTTTACTTCAGGCTGTTATTTCAATTACGAGCTTTGTTCTTGCAACGATAATTAGATCAATAATAAAGGCAAATGGCTATTCAAAACATTTTTATCAGATTATATTCGAATTCAAATGCACTTAATAGTTTGTTTTCATTTCGTTTATGTTGGAATGAAGTGAGGTCAACTCAGCATCGTGTTTTAAATTTCGCCATGCTTAATATCACGTCTCCAGCTCCTTCCAAACCTCCAGTTTCCTATCATTTTAACGGTTCGTGACTTATTCAGCGTGTCAAATGCAGTTTTTGACATTCTTATGACCATACTCACCCGCTAATAAGACTACTAAGTCAAGGGTTTCATGATCGCATTTGCAGATTAACTTCTTCGGAAATGCCTTGCTCGTGAATCACAGCGGTCCACAGACGGTGTTAAAATTTTGCTCCCAATTAGGAGTGTCTTTTTAAACTTTCAGACAGAATAAAAGCGAAACAACTTCACGGGAGGAAATTACTCATCAAGATCTGCTCAAGATTACTTCTTTTAGACAAGTTCTTCCGATTCTCATCCGTTTGGTATTTTTCGGCGCTAAATTTTCATGCTCTGGCCAAGTTCCGGCGATATCAATTCGTTTGTGGTTAACCTTTTTCTTATTTCTTTTGTTTGCTTTTGTTTTGCCATATTCTACTCTATTTCTAGAAGAGACACCGTGCCCCTGGTACGGATAGATAGATTAACCTATCTTTGGCTTCTCAACGGTACAAAAAAAATTCCTCATAAGAAGTTATTTTGTCTAACAAATATCACAAGTGCTATTTTCATGATAAAGGGATACACTCATTTGATTCGAGGTCGTGAAAATGAAAAATTATCTTTAAAAGAAAAAACAATAGGTTGAAGCCTCAAACCTCAATATCAGTTGAATTAATGTTGGAATCGTTAAACTCTTTTAGATTTAGCTGTTCGATACTCTTTCCTTTCAAGCTCATAGGGACTTTGGAGTCAGGAAACATGTGCTCTGAAAGGGATGACGCTCGAAAAGTCAACTTAAGAAATTCTCTACAGTGGCCAACTTTATTATTAATTCAGTTGAAAACCACGACTTGAAATAGGTTTTGTTTATCTGTTTGATAGTGGTTTACCTTTATTGTTCACTGACCAGCAGGAAGTACTCTAGTGCTGACTAGCAATTAGTTTCCGCGGCGACCTCGTCTCTATAGAATTTGCATCCGGTCAGAATCTTTATACGATTGATCAAGCAAATCATGGATGCAGGTTTCAACAGAATCGAAAGAGAAAGAATGCGCTAAGCAACTTCACACTTCCAAAAATAGTTGGATAAGCAATTGAAAAGTTAATCCAAAATTCTAGAACTTTTTTTAATTGCATTATAACTTCTGCTACGAAAGTAGTCTTTGAGTGGGTGGCAAATTGTCTTTATGGGCTGGGTCTGGGTACTAACGTCATTACGCGCTCAATGGGCTTATTGAATGGATCTAAGGTGTGCATGGCGGAAGAAATTACGACAGCTATGTTGATCGTGGAGTATTTTTTCATGGGATATTGTGTTGGTAAGCTTCTTTCCACTGAAATCTTTTGTCTTGTGAGCACCAGATTTGTTTGATAATATGAGGGTGTGGCATTCGTTTCAAATAAGAAACGGGAAATAACGTCAGTATCTTAAATTGTGGTGCGGCTTTTTACAATAACCTTACAAAAAACCATACTCCAGCCACTAACCAAATAAACATATCCCCCTTAATTTCGCAAACGCATAAGTTATGATCATTTCGCATTATATCACACAAAATCTTTAAATCGATGGCACTGTTTCGTGAGATATTTTAATGCGCAGCAAAGCAGTCATATTGCTTACAGAGGTGCTCTTTATACACGTCTTTTAGCAGCCGTGCGTTATTGTAAAGAACAAAACCTCTCTGTTTATCTGGGTGTGATCTGACGTCAAACGTCTTAAAAATAGAAAGTGCAACATCAATTGTCTTTCAAACAGACATCCTTGAGTGTTTCTTTTGTGTTTGCAGAAAGTTCACCAAATGAGCCTTGCTCAATCTGGCGTTAACAAGGCGCCTTTCTTTTCAGAGAAACAGAAGAGGAAAAGGTATAGATAACTAGCGTTTCTGCATCAGTTAATGTCTTCGTTTGAGGGGATTGTTATTCACAGCACTGCCTCCCAATAATAGTTTGTACCATTTGAGTTAAAGAACTATCGACTGATCACTTAGAAAATTTGATAGCTATTAAGATTATTAATATCGTAGAGCTCAGTCGTGTTCATAAAAACATCTTTGCCAAAAGTTCACTTGAACCCAAGCCCCAAGCAATCGATCTCGTTATTGCTTTGAAGAAGACCAGTTTAGCATGCTAGCTTGTTTTATCGAAAAAAAACTTTGTTTCGATTTTAACAAACAGTATATCCATAGTCACTTGGGAGCAGTAGATCTCACCGAACCTCAAGACGATTTTTAGAACTGAATATATCTCATTTACATATTTGCACGTTGCTACTTATGATAGTTTCATCAAAAGTTACTTCTGTTGTGGAACAATGGCTAGTTAAAGAAAAATTTTCACCACTGACCTCTCTGCTTGCTTCGGAAGTGAGGGATGTTAGATTAAGATATGTACCATTGAGTATTTTACTGTTTGTGTCCAGTTAAAGTTTGTAACACGTGGCTTTATCACGGTCACCGAGCGAGCGAAAAGAGAAAAACCAAGCTGACAGAATCCAAATATGACCGCAACGAATTCTGGGCGAAACAATTAATGCTAGGCTAGGACTGTAATTGTCGAAGAGGGGTTACCATAGCGATTACCTACTCTGATCGTCCAGTGGACTGAAATTAGCGCAAAATCTGTTGCCTGCCAACCTCTAAAAAAATCATGCTTACGTTGATGTAGTATCATACGCCTTTATGCCGGCCCAATTTCCTATTGAATACTGTAGACCTCAAGCTCTAATTAACAAATGGTAAACACCACAGCGTACACTATTGAGTTATGGATGCACGCGGGAGGTTGCTAAGCACGAAAGAAGCGTAAGAGTCGCTCGAGGCGATAGCCGAGAGCGACTCAGGCTTGTTGAGTGCTTAGCAAACCTCCCAAGTGCATCCATAACTCAATAGTGTACGCTGTGGTGTTTACCATTTGTTTTATAACATAACACTGATACATTGTAGCTAAAGAGTTCCCTTTTATTTAACCAATCTTACGTGACCAGAAGAAACAATCGCGCGCGGAAAAATAGTCTTTGCATTTGCTCACGTCAGCAGCGTACACCCATGGGCAAATGGTGGACGCTAAATTAACCAATCAGAGCGCGCGCTTTACTTTGGTTATGTTATAATATCAGAAAGGTGCATCATTGCACTCGTCCCGTCCCATTTTGTCCACGAAAAACTCACCGCATTACTTTGGACACAAAACTTTCTTCAGTTTTACATCTAAATGTAAATCATCCTATTTAATTGCCTTGATCATTTTACATAGATCCTGAAATTACGCGAAACCCCAGTTTACGAAGTACGAAGTGATAATCTGGAACTGGGCCCTTTAGAATACGGCGTTGTAACCTGTTCGTTCCAGTTTTCACCGTCACTGCACAAGGACATACCCCATCGCTGTGATAAATTTGTTTCCATTATAATTGTGTGCAAACCTGGCTTGATTTCCACAAGTCTTCTTGTCGTTGGGGAAGCCTCCAGTCTCAAAACCAATTCTGGAATCTGAACTCCTGCAATCGTTCTGATCATTACCAATAATTCCAGTCCTTGCCTTAGCGCTGTTACTTCTCCCACCACGAACATTAAACCCTTCAGTGTTGCAATTGAGCTGCAAGGAAGCCTGTGAAGCAATCAACTTTTTCCACGTGTCTCGACCCAACGAAGTGACACGGTAACTTCCGTGGGCGATTAGTGAATATAACGAGCTAGCCGGTTTGTCAAAAGCAATGAAATTGTCATCCTGCTCACCGATCTTCATACCGAGACAGATCCTTGTGAACGATGTGTTCCAGTAGGTCGGTAACTTAACATAACAACATAACATAACATAACATAACATTTATTCAGAAAGCTAGAACACAAATGTAAAAAATACATCCTGAAAAGGGAAAATCGTGAGGTTAGCCCTGTATAAAAACAATTTCCCTTACTAAAAACATACAAAAGATAAAATTTAAGGCTACAGATTCAATAAAAATTCAATAAATATTCAAATAAATTTTAAGTCTACTCTTAAAAACAGACAAGACTATTCTTAAAGAATCTTTAAAGAGTCTTTAGGACTACTATTAAAACTTGGTCTCTTGTGAGTCAAGCCCAGTCTTTCCACCGTCTGGGTTGAAAATTTCCTTACTGCCCCAGATGCTTGCATCGTAATGAAAAGTTAGCTGGTGATAAACAACAGATATGAGAGATAATGACAGTAGGATATCGAAACCATCAAATAGTCCTATTTTTAGTCTGTGCTCGAGCCAAGTGGCCCGCCATAGAAACTAGAGGGATTAGGAGCAGCACCACTTCCCCCCCTGGATGGGTTGCCAGTTCATCACATGGCTACCCCCCTCCAGCATTTCCTCAAGCTTTCCCAAGGATCTAGTGGTAACCAACCCTGAATCACAAATTTTCGTAATGTGAACATCCCATTGGGCCTCTGTTTGAACTCTTCCAAGACATTCGAGCAAAATGCCAGCCAATTTTACTCCACTCCCGAATACCATTTACCCTGACTTAAAAATGATTTGAGAATGTTCATATTTAAAATAGTTTTCGGATTGTTGCTATCTTTTTAATCTCTCTAACAATCCCTTGTGTCTCTTGACGTCGCAATCATGTTTAGTGTGTTTAGTAAATAACTCATAAACAAAAAACCAAATAAGCAAAACAAACGAAAAGGTATACACCTTAGAGCCATCTATTTTCATGACCAGCGTCCAGCCACCTTCCCCACATGCGCCAAAATTGGTCCGGTGACAATAAACATGAAGGTTCCCAGAATCCACTTGCAGGGAGTAAGCTTTATTTTCTGTGGCCCTGGCGACGCAAATATAATGAACAACAATTTTAGGTTGCCTTAGAAATTGGCAAATCATGGCTTCTATGAGAATCTTCAAATGTTGAATTTTCCAGCTTTCATAATGCCCTTACAACTTTGCGATTTTTGGTGACGAAGGTGATGACGTTTTTACAGCATTAAATCGTAATAATAGGAAAGTGTTATTTTAAGAAATTGTATTAGAACAGAAATTCAGATCAAGGACATTGGACGAGAAGTGATAATATTAATAGACATGTCTAGGGTATAACTTACAATTTCCTGTCGTATATTTCCTTGCCATGTCGTTGCCGCTATAAGATGAATAACAGCAAGAGTGTGGTTTCCCTTAGAACTCGCAAGTAACAAATTTTATCGTCCTGCCAATATTGATTTGCACTCATTTATTCCTTTTCTTCGATCCGGTGTCGCCTTTTCCTTCATTTATTAATACTTTTTGTTTTGTTATGTTTTTTTTTTCCCCAGAACCAGAGCTTTGGAAAATTTATGATAAGTTACTAACTTCTTTTTGAAAATTTTCAGCAAAGTTCAGCTTCCATCTATGAACAAAATCTAGAAGTGTGAATCCCTTACTCATTTCAGCATCACATCTGTCTCTGGTCCAGGGTACTTTACATGAGCATGCATATGTTTGTTTTTCCCTGTTGGACAAACAGGAACCTACATTGCGGCAGCCAGAGAGTAAACATCCCTAAAGGAAATCAAATGAATCAAAATTGAAATATGATATATGTTAAGAATATAACAAAGAGTTGATTGAGATCAAGCAACGAAATCGTTAACGAATTTTCTTTGACTAATATGGTGGAAACTGCCTGGGATAAAAAATATAGTCTCTCGTCGGAAAAAGGGTCAATAGTTCTGGTTTGAATCATTAAGAGTTGCGAGAAACGGAGAGGTCCAAAAATTGGTATTCCAATGTATTTCCATTTGATTTATTTTTTGTGTTTCTAATAATTGTTATTATCTTTTATTTCTCGCAATTCTTTTGAAAATAGTACATCTAATTACTCTCGACAGTGTCTATAGACCACTCAAAAGCAGCTGGGGCCAAGCTATTCAAACGAGCAACACGAAGAGGTTTCAAGCATCAACTTGCAAGAAAGAACAACTGGCGAGTCCACTGAGCCCTCTAAAGGTCTACCCCCTGTGCAAGCTTCATCGCTTTTCGTGCTTTCAATACGCCGCAGTCTCTACCCTTGAATATTATCATTAAAAAAGTCAAGGGTTGAAAAGCGTTGGGAAATAAGAGATACAAGGGTGTTAATTAAACCTTTTATTGTGAAAGGAATTTCAAAGAAGACATAACGATGAATTATGGTTTATTTTACAAGCGGTAAAGACTCGGTTAAACTTATTACATTGTAAATCAAATGTGAGGAACGGTTCTATGGACAGAAAGGGGTCACTTAATAACTTGCTTTGTTTAGTCATCACAATGTAGATGAAAACTTTGAATGAAAGACTTACTTTCATGTCGCTCACTATTGTTCAAAATTAATTTCTTTCTTTTTCATCAAATAAAATTTTTTGAAAATTGCTAAGAACATTGCCAACAAGAGAAATGTTCAGTGGGACAATGTATTTTTGTCTTTAAAACAGTCTGTAAAACAGTAAGCTTTAAAACAGTCAAGAAGTCTTTATGCTTTTTATTAAAATTAGGATGAGGCCTCACTGAGCAAGCGATTGAAGTCCACAACATAATTTTCTTTTCGTGATCATAGATGTTTCGGTAAAAATCCGGTTTTCAACATTACATATTGATGCTTTTGAACAGTCTACCGTTTAAGATAAAAAATCCCGCAAGAGCTAAATTACCTTCAGAAGTAATGAAAAAACTACTCCCTTCTGTTCATCAAATTTGAAGTATTCACCAACTTGACAGAGATGTCGTGCTCGTTCAGTTCACAAGTTCCTTCGCCATTCTTCTCGGAAGACAACTTGAAGTTTATGGAAGAACACCATAAATGTTTTAGACATTCTCTAGCTACAACACGATAACAAACTGCCAGAATCAAAACGTTTGACAACGTATCCCATGAGCTGCATGTTTGTCCGCAATTTGAAAAGAGAGGAGCGAGATATCGAGTTCCCTTGGGAGGCGACAACTGCGGCAGTTAGAAAACAAGAACAATAATAGAATTTCTGATATTGTTTCCGATCTCATTACCAACCAAAATCTGATAACCGTTCACACAATTCTAGTTCTTTTGAGGGCTTTTAGATAATAATTGGTAAGTCATTTTCTATAGAAGCTTCTTCTGAGGATTAGAAGACAGCTCTGACGCCTTAAATTTACTTCAAAACGAAGCTCTGTCTCGTCCAATCTAATCAGTCTCTCCACGAAAGCCAAATGCCAAACTCCCCCTCGACATTCAGAAGTTCTTAACCGACCCCACTTTTCGTTTACCCGCCTTAAATTTTTAGCGATTCAATTTATGTCGATGTAAGCTGTGATAATTTCAAAAACACCTTTCAAACATTAAATAAAATGTCGAATATAAGTGGTGCGCTAAGCACTTTAAACTGTTAAGAATTATTGCATCTAAAAGCAAGGAAATTGACATAAAAGAAGCACTAAAGGTTGAAAATGAGAGATATAAATGCGAAGTAAACAAAGAAATTTATAGATAAATTGATAGACAACATTTATTGCTGCACCGCCATGTATCCTCCAAAGAGTTTACTGCACCAAAATATATTCCATAGCTCTGGCATGTCTGCTCCTGTTATCTGGATCATGCTTTGCTTCGTTACCACACGTGTTTGAGTCATCGGGATAACCTCCAGTACCAAAACCAATTCTGGAATCACAGGAGCCACAATTGTTTTCTTGGTTGGCAATATAACCGATTCTTGCTTTCGAATGACGAGAACTAGTACACACCACATTGAACCCTTCTTTGTTGCAATTGCGCTGCAGAGAGGCCCGTGAGCCAATCAGCCTCTTCCACGTGTTACGACCCAGTGAGGTGGCGCGGTACTTACCATCAGCGATCAATGAATATAGTGAGCTAGCCGGCTTGTCAATTGCAATAAAGCTGTCCTGGTCACCGATTTTCATACCGAGACAGATCCTTGTGAATGGTGTGTTCCAGTAGGTCGGTAACTTGGTCTCATTTGAGTCAAACCCAGTCTTTCCTCCTTCAAGGTTGAAAGTTTTTTTATTGCTCCAGAGGTCATCATCATAGTGAAACGTTCTCTAGACATGGCATGAACAAATTAATTCTTAATTACAAAGTTTGTCTCGTTAAGACCTGAGTGAGTCACGATTTTCAAACTGATAGAACGATGCATGGATAAAAGTGCATTTAAGTACATCGAAACTGGGCTATAACTTATTTCGACCCCGACGAATGACAAGCATATGATGCAAGAAAATTGTGGCTTCTGTTCGTTTTTAAGCCTGACGATAAAGTGTTTATGAAATATGAGTAAATAAAGCAAACAAATCTTGAAATGCCAAAATATTTTTGCTTAAGCAATTGCAAATCGTTAAAGCAGTTCCCTGTTTTCACTAAACGTATTGCAAAAGACCGTTAAGCCATAACTAGTGAGCCAAATAAATACATACTAGCGAGCCATTTATCTTCATAACCAGTGTCCATCCATATCCACCGCATGCGCCAAGACTCGTCATGTGACAGTACACGGGCACCTTGTCAGAACTTATTTGTAATGAATAAGCCTTATTCCCATCAGTCCTAAAAGAAATGACGACAGAGATTTCAAACGAACTGCAACAAGGAAATAGGTAAGAGGTACATGCATGAGGGTGGTGCTTTGATGACGTAAAAGTACAAAACTGTAGGAACATTTGCCTCGCTTTTTTATCTTTTATGAAGAAGCTTTGAAATGATAAATTTTGTATTTTTTGAATTGCTGAGACTCTAGTCACAGAATGGTCTTCTCGTGTTATCAATTTTAAAGCTTTCAATTTGAATTATTTTCCACGAAAAAACAAGTTGGAAGTGTGAATTACTGTTTCTTCCTCAAGAATTGAAGTCGCCAAAAATACTCCTTTGTTTCTGGATTGTAAAAGTCGATCTTCATCGTAACTACAGGTACTTTTCAATCAGATTGACCACGACTTTATCCGTTTGATGCTGGAAGCCAGTACTGAATGTATCTAAGTGAGTAGAAAATGTTCTACCAGTAACTTACAATTTACTATGATAAATTTCCTGGCACGTGGAGTTCCCTGGAAGAATGAAGGGATATGAGATAATTGGAATTCATTACGTGACTCAAAGACCAAATTGTCTCAGTTATACCTCAGCATCTGTAACTCCTTACACCGTAAGGTCTATATGCATCTTCTCCATGCTGTTCTCTATACGTTGCCATTGGCACTGAGAAGGAGATTTTGTTTGACAATCAAATGATTCTTTAGTTGTTGGCTACTTCCTTGACTCCCTGAATATGACTGAAGGCGGCAGACCATCAAATTCAAACCGAAAAATGCAAATTTTACAACAAACATCCAAATTATTTCAGTCCATTGCTCATAATTCACTGCCAAGATCTCGTCTCTAACTCTCCTTACTATCTGCCATACAATTATTATAATGAGAATTGGAGAATTTGTTATTGGATCAACTAATAATCCCTAATTATTCTTATCACTTGTGTGCTTGATATTGTATTGTTTTCTGTTGTGTTTGATTCAGCAATGATACTGTGAGAAGAAATTAGATGCTTGGAAGTCTTAGGGGCTGAAAGGTGAATATGTATTAGGTGCCAATATATGAGCAGAGTTCATTTTTTCCATATCTCTTTGCACCGAGCGCGATGCTTTCACTGTCTACCGGCTTACTATTCACTTGACAATTCAATCTTTTAGGATGGGTGAGGTTATTGAAAGGCTGTATNTCGCCAGTATAATCAGGTCGAGTTTACCTCCCCCTACCGTGGACTCTAACCTCAAATCAATGTTTAATTAAGCTTTATCTCAGGACAAATAGAAAGCGTACCTCGCACTTTCGGGACTATTTCTTCAGTAGACATTACACAAATATAAATTGTGTAATTCCACATTATACAAATGATTTGTATAATGTGGAATAGTATCCCTAATGATATCAAGTTGGCTGAATCCTTGGGTTCATTCAAGTGCCAACTTAAACTATAATTTTTTTAAGCGTGTTTATAATGCTTTCGATGGGGACAACGTTCGTTCATTTAAGATTATCTGTCCCAAATGTAGAAGAGTAAAGTTATGGATCGGGAATTGGTATTTTTTGTTGTTGTTGTTGTTGTTTTTTTAAATTATAATTACCAAAGGGCTAGGGTAGTTGTCGAATCTTGTGGGAAACATAATGTGTTATTATTCGTACTACCCGTACATTGTAATTAGTGTACAAATCGTTACATAAGTATATAAATAAATAATAAACTTAACCGGTTGAATGAACGATCGCGCGCTTCTTGATGTTAACTCGTCCTAATAAGACGTCCTCATTGCAGATTCCTCCGGGAAATGCGCACGGTCAGGTTGTAGATATAAATGTAATTGTACCGTAAAAGTCTTCTAAAGCTACTCATTGAGTGCGTCGGCCAGTTAGCCAGCCAGCCAGCAAGTAATTCGAGCTTTTGAAGGTTTTCTATATCACCCGAGTTTTCCACCTTTATTTCATAGAAAGACAAAAAACAGGCAGTCGCCACATACTTTTTTTAAAAAGTAACAATTTACTTCTTTCAATAGCGAGCTTTAGCAGTAAGAAAGACAGCATAATTTGTCTAATAAGCGCAGGCCTATTACACTAATCTCGTTCCCAACCCCAATGGACGCGGAGCTGTGGGTCCTGTGCCCCGAGCGTTGAGTAAGGGAACGAAGTCCTGAGGAACAAGATTACTTGCGTGCGTCATGTAATGCACCAGACGGTTTTACCCCGCAATAATCGACAGTGACTTTGAACCACATCTCCATCGCTTGTTCTTCTCTTATTGTATCAAAATCATAATTTAATTAAAACTTGTCGCACTATGTGGAGACACCTGTCGCTTTTTGTAATAATAACTAATTACCCCGTTACTTTAACAAAAAAATGTCAACAAAAATGTGGACGCTCTGAGAGAACCGAATTGCTTCCTAGCCCGGCATTAACTGAATCTCCAGTTTCCATTCACTTTGAAAGCGCCTAATTATGC